GTGACAGCGAGGAGACATGAATACGCTGGACCGAAAGGAAGACTCTAAAAGATCTGAACGTCCTTATCTGTTGTCATAAGAAAGGGTTTGTCGACAAGTTAACGCGACGTCGAATCATATTATGGAGAAAGCATATACAGTTTTCCAACATGACCAAAAGAAAAGTGAAAATTATATTTCAGCTTGGCAAAGCTAAATACAGTAATTAAAAGTGCACCTTGTGCAGTGTCCACTGCAACTCTAATTTAGATCGACTGACCAAATCCAACCTGTTGTAAATGCCAGTATACACGCTGGTGAGTACCGATAAAGGAGAGTGAAAGGGATAAGACAGAGTTTGCCGATGTCTATCATCCAAACTGACAGAAGTTCTGTTCAGAATGTTAATATGTGCTCCATATAGAGATCTGAGAAACGTGGAATCCCTCACTAGTGACATGGCAGGGTATAGTTTTAGTTAACAATACCCACATGAAACCAGTCACGAAGCAACCAATCGGCCTAGTGAATGAAGCCAGATGACTACAGATAATTGTGGGTGTATGTTTCGTAAGTACGATGGTAACTTGTTAAAATGGTAACCCCGGTGAAACGCATGGCAGGATACTCATTACTCAGTACTGCCTAGTATTAGAGAAGTACGGCCACTGTCTGTTGACTTGACTCAGCCTTCTCCATTCATGAATTGCTAACCATCTACTAAGTGATGGTGGCGTTTGGACGAAGTCATCTGCAGGTCTACATTCAAAAGAATGACCATTTAAAACTCGTAAACTGCTATTAGATGTATCAGGGATTTGCATCCATGGGCCATCGTTTTATTTCAGTTTGCCAATTACAAGCAGTCCTAATTCAGTCTTGCTGACGTTTACATTAAACAGTTAATTATTACACTTTGAGTAATACTTAAAATTTAAACTCTGCAATAGCCAGGATAATTTGCATACTACTCAAGCGGCTTTCTGTCCGTAGACATAGCATTCACACGATTTGCCAAACAGTGAGTGAAATCCAACCTAAGTTGTATGGTTTTCTATAGCTGGAGCAATACATTCGGGCTTTTCCAATCTTGTTTACTAAAACAGGAATTTCTTAGAAGAGAGTTAACTAGATAATTACAGAAATATTTCCCTAGGCATTTCCTTCAATACGAATACAGGAGATGAAGGAAGATATATTCCTGTCAATGAGACGTTATAATACTAGGCGAAATGACGTATATACACACTGAACACTTACCACCAATGTTAACACAGGAATTATTAGTTCAGTAAATACGAACTGATGAATTAAGCAACCAACGGGAGAAGTGTTCAGCCCGATTCTTATCTCTTCTAATAACTCATCAATTCTGATTGCTTTTACTGCATATATTGATTACTGATCTCATTTGATACAATTTTCTCTTTTAGCGTAAAATTTGTTCTCCGCTTATCCCTATTTGTTTTCTTTTTGAGTAGTTTTCATATGGATAATAATGTTTGTTTGTTTTTCTTTGGTTTTTATAGATTTGCCTCATTTAACTACTTTGCATAAATTGAAGTGAAGATAAGAAATTCTTGTAAGATCCAAACAGTTTATGATGTATTAAAAATTGTTTACACTTCAAAAAGGCGAACTAATTCGTGAGATATAATACTTATATGAAGCACAATTATGTTATATATGTCCAAACCAAGTTCACTTTTAACAGTTTGAAAAAATTTGGGCATTGGGTATATGATATTTTATTATAATAAAGGTTTTTTGTATTTCCCAATGAATGAAAAACAAAACGATATTGTTTTTACTGACGTTTCGCTATTTAAACCGAAATTTACAAAATCTCAGCATATATACACAGTTCATTCTTGGAGAAACTAAACAATCTATCTCCCAGAATCCAGTTTACTTCAGGACCATTTCTAGTCTGCCTAGTTAAGAAGAGGGAAAACGGACATTTTAGTTTATCTATATGCAGGAAGAAAACCCACTCCAATAAATATTTAGACTTAGGATCATCACACCCCATCAGAGCAAAGGTATCAGTTGTTTCAAGTCTTCTTAGACAAGCACACTCTTTGATAATGGATGAGAAAGAAAAAGAAGAAGAAATATCAAACCTTACTGAGACTCTTAAGCAAAACAATTACCCAAAGAACTTCGGCAATAAAATCGACACCGACATTAAGTATGGTTGAAAACGTATTCCGAAAACATGGGCCTCAACATTTATAGTTCCACATAGAGCAGAGACGTCAGATGATATCAGAAGAATAGTCAATCAGTTCGACATAAGGGTTTTCTCTAAGACATCAGACACACTGTGAAACAACCTTGTCCATATAAAAGACCAGATCTCTAAAGATTCTCCATCTAATTGTGACTATAAAATAAAATGCTTGGAATGTGATGCGATATACATCGGACAGACATCTCGAGAAACCAAAATCAGAAGAAATGAACACCGTAGAGCATCTAATCGACCATCGAGAAATCCAGTTGAACTAGAAAAGCTTGAAAAATCATCAGCCAGCGATAGGTCTACACGCTATAGAATCAGGCCACAAAATTGATTTTGACAGTATTGAAATCATCATCCAGAAAAATTTCAGAAATCACAAAGAACGTCTCATTTCATCAGAAGCACTTCATATCAAATCGAATCCAAATTTTCTGAATAGGAATGATGGACTAAAACAGATTTTGACCTGGTTACAACGTCCCCCTCCCCCATGAAATGACAAAATCAACACGAATGTGATAAGCGGTTTCATTATGTAAACACACGCTGTTTTTACAATTTTATACAACTGTCAAATCCAATAATCTACACCTGGTTTTATTATCTTTACCAATTGGCCAACTTGGCAACGTAAAAATGACCCCATGCTGATGGACGATGATTAAGTTGTTATTTATAAGCTGAGTTTTTGGAAATACTCATTTAATAATACTTTGATAAAGCTACTAGCAGCAGTAAATAGCGAAACGTCAGTAAAAACAAATCGTTTTATTTTTCATCCATTTACATAAAGGAAGTAAAGGCACTCATGCATAACTGAACCCCTCCTCTTGGAGTTTGTCAACTCTTGCATCCTACCTAATCTTCACCATTATTCTTACCTTGATTGCTTGAAAAAGACTGTTTCATACTTCGTAGGACTCTGAAGACTGTCAATAGGGCCAGTGGTATTCCATTGGGCCATATTGTTGACATCGTCATTGATAGGCATTCGATTTCATGCAACAAATTTGTTAAAGGAATTTCGTCAGACTGCGAGCATCCACTCTATCTTAAGCTCCAACCCTGTGTCTCCTCAGGTAAAACAAGAAGTCTTTTTAGAAGACTTTATGCACGTACGTCGAAGTATAAAATTTCCACTATGCCATATTTGGCAAGTATTTTACGTGATGGAAATAGTGTCAGGGACGAACTAATTAACTTTCTTTGCACTTGTAAATAAACCTTTTTCCCCATCCTTATTCTACGAAGCTTTATTGTTATTGTTCTTTCTATATTTATAGTGCTCTCATTTCGTTTGTTTACTTTTTTATAAGTGTAAACATCATTCAAGCTCTGTAATGATTGTTATTTTCTGTTTTTCTCCTCACTGTGCTATGTCAAGAGATTCAATACTCCATAACACGCTAAAAAGTGCATACTGTATCGACAATACTGTCTGTTATTATTGGCATTATTATTATTATATTTATTACTCTCATTTCATACTTTACACAGTTTTGTCGTTATCCCTACTGTGAATATGGACAAGTTCCTGTGGTTAGTTTCAGATATATTTTGAGTAAGTCAACTGCAATATTGTGGTAAAAGCTGAGAATTTCATTCCGAATTATAAGTACTATTTTTGGAACAAAGTATTATTATTATTAAAAACTAAATTGACTTCATAACGCTGTTTATTTCAGCGTCAGCAAACAGGTAAAATTCAGAATTCTCGATGATGTTTAGGTTCAAAACTAAGTAGGTTATCAATTAAAATATATACACTTTCACCATTCGAAGGCCTGTTCCACTGATTCCTAAATGAAGGTCTATAGCAGTATGAAACAAGTTAGGCGGAAGTCACACTTGTCATTAATTTGGAGGAAATGGTTAATCAGTCGAAAGTTATGAATTTATCTGAAAACTGAATCCCTTTTTCCCCGCATGATTTCTGGAATTAACTGAAGGTTTCATCACAGAACAATTCTAATTGATTAAAGCACACAGTGATGCTGTAGTATTTACTTAAAACGTAGTTAGGATAATTTACATCCCTTAATCATGATAGTCATATGATGAAATTACAGTACCACAGTTGTCCAATTCTATTCTTATATCAATGGAAGGTCGTGGATAAGTCTTCCTGGTGTCCAAAGAGTATTGTCTATCCAATGTTAGAAGTAAACACTTTTTAAAGAGAACAGAAACCTTCGGGTTCTGTCCGGTTTATATATTTATTATTTGTCTTATTCCTTAACGTACCCAGTGGAATATAGGGCTTCAGGCTAGGGCTTTGAAGTGTCGGTAGCAGTGGTGTTTATTATTTTACTGGATAGGGTTGCTAGCCCCATGCCCAGCCTTCCTTCTTTACCAGTCTTAACACTAGCTTAGCGAGTGCGTCGGCTGGGGATCGAACTCCAAACCACAAGTGTGGTTGGCGAGCATTCCACCACTGTGCTAACCGGTTTAATGAACCATACTGTGTTCAACACAATCTCTTAAGATCACGAAGATCATGTGTGTGCATAGCAACGTAGATATTCACCCTGAAGGTGACCTGGAATACCACCAAAGAAACTAGTCCAACTGTTGTACTTCGTTACATAATTCTGATTCATAATGAAATGACGCCGAAGCTCAGTTACTACACACTGCTAGAAAGTGAACATCATATTCACTTATTAACACCGAACCACTGCACAAGGCTGTCGAATTGAATGTTATGAAGCAAACTAGTAGAATAGTTAACATTATCTGAAGATCTTTTCAAGCAGTAGAGTGGTAATATGAAATTGTTTGTATCTGAAAACTTTATTTTATCTGAATAAATGGAAGAGGTAAAAATATTTTTCTGGTAAGACACTATTATAAATATACACATAATAATTAACAAATATCACGACAAGGCATAAGTAAATATTGCGTCACAGTAAAAAAAAATGGGGAAGAGATAAGTCAACTTTCAGCAGCTCACAAGATTATTTTAAAGTTCAACTGAATGGAATAGCATATCAAATTAAATTTTAAAGTTAAAATGACAGCCTGGAGATAAACAAATCACCCTTCTTTTTTTCTCTCTGAAAAAACAAAACAAATGAAAGCAAGCGGAACAAATGAACAATGAGAATAATTATTAGATGACTGTCATTGTAGGGAAATCTAAGCAGACAAGAATGCTATTTTTAATAGGCAGTAAATTTGGAGACTAGCTAGTGTTGAAGGCATCATATTTAAGTAGTCAATTATTTGGTGGTTTTCTCCAACTCCCAACCACCCCTGCACTCCTTTTGACTACTGACAATCATTTTTCATTAGAAACAACTAAAATGATACAAAGAGTAAAGTGACTTAAACACAAAAACGCAATAAGAATGCATTATTAAGCAACGATGGAATGTGAAACTTGCTTCATAAGTTAGTTAAATTCAAAGAAAAGAACTATGAAATATTAAAAATATGTTTAACAGAGCTTAATAACAATCGTATTTAGAAGAGAACAAATGACTAGAATAGATAACAGACACAACAATAACAACAGCAGCCGCAGCACCACCACCAACAACAACAGAGGCATTAGTAACAAATCACTATGATATTTTTTATGTATAAAAGTTGTAGATATACGCAAGTGAATTCAGAGAAAACAAATACTTTTTCTAGTGGGTTCATATAACATAATTATCTAAAATATATACTTTATCATCTATCTAGTCTTTTAAACTGGAACTCTGTTTACGTCATGAAAGAACAAGTTTTCCATACTGAAGTGTATTATACACTTGAAATTATATTTGAATTAATATTACTAACTTTAACAGCATGATTAACACTTCTTCTGAATTTGTTATTATCCATACAATCACTATCAACATTACCGTCTTGCTTGTCATTAACATCGACTTTGTTGCAACTTGAACTGCAGTGATAAGTGGTTATGCAGACATTTTCATTGAAATGATTAAAGTTATTGCTGGTGCAGAAATCAGAATTCAGTGTATCACTAAAAGCATTGTCACTGTTACCACAGTCAGTGGCTTTACGTTTACGACAAGTGCTGCCTTTGGTAATGAGTGAATCATCATGGACATTACACTGTTCTGCTTTGGTACTTACTGACAAGTCACTTTTAAAACTGACACATTCTTTATGACTAGAGTTGGTTTGCGGACAAGTACTAGGGGATTGTAACTGATCTTTCATTTCTTCTCCTTCTTCTTCTTCTTCAACGGATTGTTTATTAGTATCCTCAGAAGACATACTCTTATAGCAAAACTTCATTTGTTGATTTGGTGCCTTCAAAGACCTTTCATTTTTTCGACGCTGAAAAAGCAAAAATAAACTATAAATAGCAAAATCCAGCTACAAAAAAACACAAGATTATGTTTGCAGTCACCTGTTGACTGCTTTTATGAATGATACACTATACATACAGAAGAGTGGATCAAGAATAATGAAATTATAAACTACTACTATGTAAATAATAACGGTCATTTCCAGCCTTTAGTTAATAATTGCTACACCAAATAAACAGGTAGTTTTTCCTAAGTTACTGAATAATATAAGAGTGAATTTTACCCATCTCAATCATTCAACCACTTGATACTAGGAGATAGGTAGTAATTGACATAGCTCCTAGGTCTCTTGATTATTGAGGATACGTTCAAGTATAGTATTTGTTCTTGAACATGGTGAGTACTGATGTGAACAGCTCAGTAGTGGATTTTCTTTCCAGCATCACTGAGCGACCAGTGCTCCGTTTGCAGGGATGAGAGTGACTTTGCACAAATTCTTAAATACGCCTTGCTGATAAGACGAAAACACACAGCCTAAACCTATGGATCTTTACAAGCTAATATGACATTCATATTTGAATGCCTTACAACGTACAGTGGTTTCGCACCACCTGCCTTAGAGACGGTACTATATATCTAATCAGTAGATTTTGTCAACGCACTCAAGACAATTGCGTTAAGTAACATCCGCTGACATAGTTATTCACTAGAAATGATTTTCATTCTTTATTTTCATAAGAATTAACACATATGGTAAACGTGAATTAAAATTTTCTCTCGGGATATTTTGAAATGTTTGCCATTAAAGTCTGATCCAGAGGATGAATGCCATCCTACGATTGCCATACGATCTGACTTAACCAAATATTAGTCATGTGTCTCAGAAGGAACACTATAGCACACTGGGAATGTAGATACATCCAACTTATGAGTCCTGAATAGGATGAAATGTGTTTCTTAGATTCGACTGCTAGCCATGGCTAACTAAATATTATCAGTTTTAAATTTACCAAGGTGATTAATTAGTCTTCGTAAAGTGCAGTTGATAGATTTGGACCTAAAACTTAAGTAAAAATTATGCACGGTTGGATGGGAGGTTTATTTGTTAAGCAGATTATACTAATCCATAGAAAAGGCTGACTGTTGAATGTTTAATCTGAATGGGAGGTCTCTTATGACAGTGTGACACATTTTACTGCGAATAATTTGTATCATTCCTCGCACAACTTATCAAATATATTTGACTAATGAAATGAATTACTGTCCCGACTGAGAAGGTAACTTAAGCAGATCGGAAATTATTCCATTTCAGCGTGAAAAATTGACAATTGATTAAACATACCTCTTTTATAATCTTCATTACATTAAAACACAAAAAATGACACTGAGCAAAGATCTAAGTGATAATTAAGAAACCATAGTTTTACGTTCTAGGATAACTCGTATTTTTAACACTATGTCCTTGAGGAATATAGTTTCGGTGTTTGTTTGCAGGGTTTCATCATGGACTGACATCGGTTAGAGAATCACTGGAAAACCTGGATGTACTGAACAGCTTTTTCATCCTAGTTCAAAACTCTCCACCAGTACGCACCGGGGTTTGAAGCCAGTACCTCCAGTTACAAGACAAACTCACAGACCACTAAGCCACTGGGACCTGGTCCAATTGTCCATGAATTGCTACTTTTCCAATTCATGATATAGCACAACCGGCACTGGCCACTGTTATCTCTGACAAGTAATCTTCCTCACACCCAACTTGCTGTCCCCACTGGCCACGAATTCCCATCAGAAATGAGACAACTGCCTGCGTTATGAGGACCAGTCACTAGTAAGCATCAGATTGACATCCAGGTGTTGATTTGCAGGAATTTGAATGCTTACAGGATTTCATCATCAGCTGACTCCAGTGGATGCGTACAAATACTCACCGATGACATTCGCTAGTGGTAGTGCCATATATCATGAATTGGCAGAAGTTGGAATTCATGGCCCATTAGGCCCAGTGCCAGTGGCCTAGTGATCTGCAAGCTTGCCTTGTAACCAGTAAGTCCTGCGTACTTTACTGGGTTCGAACCTCAGTAGGTACATACTGCTAAAAAGTTTCGAACTGGGACGAAACGGTTGTCCTGTACTCCTAGGTTTTCTAGTGGTTCTCTAACCGATGTCAGTGTGTGCTTCTCTGTGAACCATTTCTCAAATGTACTGAATTGTATCTTAGACAACTAGGTATTCAGCACATCGTCTTCACTTTTGAATTATTTGTTAGCAGCTCACTGTATCTCAGTAGAACTTATTCGTTGTTTATTAGAAGGAAGGTTAAACAATGATTCAGCTTACATTTTGTATACTTGTCAACTGAAGATAGTATTTCCCAGTAGTTATTAACAGTCATAATTATCTGGCTAATTGTAAGTAGTCAAACTTATATAGACTCTTTCGAAACAACTGAACACCTATTTCGCCATTCTGCAACAAGATACGGTTTTGGTATATGAAAACTGTTAAAGCACAAGACTACTTTAAAAAGCGTCTGCAATGAAATACCTTTTATTGTATTAAATCTAAAAAAGAACTTAACTAGTAATATATACATAAACTTGAAATAATTGTCACCTACATGCACAGCATCACGCCATTGTTGCACTGCAGCAGTTGATAATTCAAGTCTTTTCTTCTTCTCGCCTTTACGTTTAACGCATAAGACTTCAACAAAGGTCAAAACAACGCCTGCCACCAGACCCATACCAATCATAATGAACACACCAGCCATATTTGTTAAGCCAAGTGTTGCAGGACTTGACTCAGTTCTTTCACAGTTATTCGATTTTAAATGAATCCATGCTGTATCTAGCGTCTCCATTATTCCTCCTGTTGTTCATATATTAAATGGAAATAAAATAAAGATTAAAAATAAGACACCAATATAAAGCTTAGAAGATACCAGCTGATAAATGTTGCTTAGTGTTCTGTCTTCTTACTGACAGGGAAATTCTTGTATTTGACACTTTACAGGCTGAATTCTTAAGTAAGTGTGCACATTGTAAGCTTACAGATGACAAGTGATCAAAGAAACAGCATAATGGGAAAGTGGTTCAATTCAGTGTCATATGAAACTGAATCGTTGATAAACTGCGTAAAGAAAAAACTGCAGATTCAAGACAAAATGGAAATGTTTGATTTGAATGCTGACTATATCAGAGTGTACTTTAGAAATCTATGTAGATTATAACAAGCTAAGAGAGCCTAATGTTATTTGTGACAGACAAAATCCTAAGAAACAAAAGGGCGAGATACGTTGGATAATATAACTAATTCAATTGATTAAAAATGCCCATTAAACAAGTCCAGCCCCTACTACTGCCCTGGCCCTCAGTAGAGACTATAAACTCATGAATTTGTACTATTACCCTTCCTAATTCTTCTGACATTCAGTTTATTTTATGTTGATGCTGTTCAGCTGTAATTTATCAATATTATTGATTTGATGTTATTTAAGCATTAATGTCGTTCATAAGACTAATTCATTCATTCATTATAATGTATATATAACTAATTCAGTTTTTGGATAAAGCATAAACAACGGTTGATGTCGTTTTATTTCGTCGGCTTCTTGTCAAGCACATAAAACCAAGAAAAGCTTTTTTCAAATTATTTACATGTACAGAGGACTTTTCATCTTATTAACAAAGATAACGTGCTGACGACTAACGTAGGACTTCAAAAATAATAAAATGTGCTCAGAAGTTATATCAGTATGTCTGATACTCAGAAGATTCAGGTTATTTCTTTTTTATAAGTTTGGATACATTGAACAAGGAGTGGCGTAATCAAGACAAAAAGAAATGAATAAGCTGGTGATAATTAACTGATGATTCTTACAATAATAGAAACACAAATGAAAAGCAAATAATAATAAACTAACAGAGAACAGGTCAAAGTAGAACATTATGTCATCAAATAAAAAGAAAAGCTAAAAAATCAAGTTACCAGAGCAAAGAGAGACTGATAAATGCTTCATTTCTTACAGATGATGTGATATAAACGTTTTTTTTTGTGCTCATAAACAATCAAAAATATCTTTCGAGTATTCTTAATTCAATTTTAATTTTCCCGTCGACTGATTGGACCGAAGTGTTTGGACGCTTCGACGATATCTGATGATTAACTTGAAGTAGTTTGGTGGACAGTGATTAAGAGTGGAACCAAGGATCCTTATTTCGTCCTACTTGGGACTTGCCAGCTGGATTTACCTGCATTCTCAGCGACTGATGGTGTTACCACTGGAACTCGAACCCAGTACCCATCGTTTCAGACACCCTAGTTACTGGGTTCTAGTCTCAATGGTAACACCATCGATCGATGGGAATGCAGGTAAATCCAGCTGGCAAGTCCCAAGTAAGACGAAGTGCACATCTTGGGTTCCACACACTGCTAGTCATCATCTACCGAATCACTTCAATCCAAAATATCTCTCCAGTTTATACTTATAGTTTTTATTAATTTGTATTGGCCTAATTTTTCATTTTGCACTAAAAGATGTTACAAAAGAAGATAGTTTGAGTGAGACCACAAAAACATTTCATTCTTTTGTAGGATATTTTTTCAACAACGTTTTCTTATTTTAACTGCAGATTACTAGATACTTTCAATATTTAATCAAGGTAAAAATTACTCACGAGACTATAGATGACTTTATCTTAGTAGGACAAAAAGATTAAATGGAAACTAGTTTCACTCAAATGCTACAGAAGAGACCACTGATGAACGCGACATGATATCGTACAATCATTTCAATATATGAGAAATTAACTAAGGTTTTGAGTGTATTGGTGAGAAGGGAATCTGTTCAATGCTAGAAAAGGTACGTGATTTTTGTGAAACCTAGGCGTCCCACTGAGTTTTAATCCATATATATAGGTGCATACACCTGGTAAGTTTGAAATACGGTTAAACAGATATATACTGATTTGTTTTTCATACATCTTAAGGTGTCACTGCTTAGTCAGATAAACTCTTATTAAATCAGTTTGAGTTCCCAAAGGTAGGGGATGAACAGAAAAGTTGGATATTGTCATTCAGATGACACCAGCTATCATATATATATATTATTTAGACCAGATGAAATTCCGAATATTTAGTCAAGACTGTTGAAATAATAATTGTTCACAGGAAAGACTGCTCCACATCGATTTCACACTTGAAAGCATCAAAAGGGTAGGTGGATTAAATAGCATTCAATAGATTTATGTACTGTCTGTGAGATGAGGACTTGTATTGTGGTAAGAGCTGTCTGCCAATCAAAACTGTAGACAACCACTTACTTCACTGTTTACGTCTTGAATCGGGGTTATGAGAAAAAACAAGAACAAAGCTTAACCTTTAGGAACTCACCAACCAATCACAGCAGACTTAAAGTGTGCGAATACCATTAGCAGATATATGGCTTAACTTTGCAAGCAACGGTCACAAGCAGTACATAATAACCTTCAGCAAGAAAACACCCAATCAGAGGACGTTGCTCCTCTGCTAACAATAACGTTAATAATAATGTACATAAAAATCTATGAATATCTCTTGATTTCCTCAATAAACGATCTGTTATCTGGCCCTTGTTTTCTGTCGTTGCAGTATTTTTGAGGTCACACCACTGAGCTAATTATGCCAAACCCAACTACATGTTGTACGCAAATTAGTCACTAGCGGTAACTAATATAAATGCACATGGATACTTATTATACGAGATTTTAATATGGTTAGTACGGTAACTTATATGAGATGATTCTACCACTGTAACCCACCCCTTTCTATTGCCTTTTAAATTGGTGTGGCATTGGAAATTATCGAAAGGTGTTTGCATACTTAGAACGGAGGACGGTTTTTACATGTATACACTTTCATATTATCATAATGGTTTGTGTTATAGCAACTGCCACAGTCTTAACAATGTAAACAATCTGAAGGATAAGACCATCATGCAATAAATGTTTATTTTAAATATGTCCTAGTATTTTATTACCATTAATCTGTTATACAACTGTGTACACAACAAGCATGCGTACGTAGATATAGTTAGAGTACGGAGAAATAAAATCTCCACCTTTTTATTGTAAATTAACAACCCTAATTTTCTCCTTACTATGTATCTGCTTTTCCTTTTTCTAGATACAAGATTTACATTCATTGTTGAATGTAAATTTCAACGAAAAATAAAAGACAAAAACAATATTCTGTAAGAAATATATATGAGGAGGTGGTATACAACCACAGTGGAATGCAAGCGTTAAGAACTAGAAGGAAGGAGAAATATTTCAAAGAAGAAGAGACCTTATTATGAACTTACTATATACACACATACACATATACAAAAGAAATGAAGGAAAGATATTTTTCAAGTTTTATCTTTCCCTACCTCTTTACTAGCTATGAGTGAATTGAAAATAGAACGATGTGAATGATATGTAGTTCTGAGTTTACATGTTGTAACTGTACTATAAAAATAATAAGCCGTTCAGCTGTTTCACTGACAATTAATGTAGACTTATGGCTTTTTTCACCCTGTCTGTTTCTCAATTATAAGATGTATATGTTATAAAGTTAGTCAAATGTTATGATATGACCAAAAACACAGCCAAAATGATTGTTTAACATTATTTTAAAAGAATTCTTCAAAAACAACATTTAATCGCATCAGGGTCAACGTAGCCACTGTTGTATTAAACTAGACTGGTGAGCAATAACAAGTTGTCTTATTACCCGATTGTCAGTGACTGAGTTCTACTAACCACGATGATAACTGTGCTGCGTATTTTTCGGTGAATTTCTGGTGATGCGGCGAAATTTGCAGGAATTCATATATCTAAGTTTTACATACAATGATTCCCTTTTATAAATTTGAACAAAGAGAGAAGAAACATTGGAGGAGAATAATCTGGATCCATTTTATTTTGTTGGTTCTCATCAGCTACGTACAACCTGAAATTTTTTTATTAAAAATAAAAAGTGTACAATTTTAACAAACCTTTGTCCATTAGCAAGCATACTGTCAGAGCGTCATAGTAAAATAAGGCATTGAGATTTACAGGGTGTCTAAAGTGTCACAACATGTATATATATATCTTGGTAGAGAGAAGTTTCTTGAAAAAATTAGTTAACAGTTGTGTTGTTAGGGTGGTAACAAAAGACAATTAGCAATAGTTACGTAGTTAGATAAGAGAAGATCAAAATTTTAAAATTACGGTGCACATGAGGTCAGATAGAAGTTGATGATGTAATACAGTCAGAAGAACAGAGATGAGGACCTACGTCAGATTGTGCGGACAAGTACCAAGGAGCCTCCGGTTAAACGGACCGAATTGTTTAAGCTCTTCAATCGCAAAACACCTGATTAACACAGGACACCGAGTAGATGTGGTGGAATCATTCAAAATAATTAACACACAAAGTACCTCAAGTCTTCTCAGGTTTGCTGAAGGTATAGCGATAAAACGATTGAAGCCAGACTTAGGTATCCAAAAAGAATCCGTTGTTGGACTTCAATTACCCTGGTAACTGACTTCTTAGTAACTCTCCGTTTTCTAATTTTATTAACTTATCTTTTCTCTTCACCCCCTCCCTTTATGTTTCGCTTGACTCTCTTAAGAGATAATTTTTCTCGATCTTCTGAGTTCTGCTCACTGTATTACATCATCAGCTTCTCATCTGACCTCATGTGTTTCGTAATTTTAGAATTTCGATCTTCTCTTATCTAATTACGTAACTACTGCTAACTGTCTTTTGTTACCACCTTAAGAACACAACTGTTAACTAATTTTTTCAAGAAACCTCTCTCTACCAAGATATATATATACATGTTGTGACACTTTAGACACCCTGTAAATCTCAATGCCTTATTTTACTATGACGCTCTGACAGTATGCTTGCTAATGGACAAAGGTTTGTTAAAATTGTACACTTTTTATTTTTAATAAAAAAATTTCAGGTTGTACGTAGCTGATGAGAACCAACAAAATAAAATGGATCCAGATTATTCTCCTCCAATGTTTCTTCTCTCTTTGTTCATATCTAAGTTTTGTCATCCTTTTTTACCAGTTACAAGAGAACTGCAACTTGAATACCTAGAAGATTTATACCACCTGAAGGATTTTAACTTGTATCAAACAATATAAAGGTCAAGTTTTGATTTGTGTTCTGAATGACTAAGTTTGGTACATTGATGAGGGCTTGGAGATTAACCAGAGGTATACTGTCGAATTTGTTGATAGAAAAGCTCAAAAGCCTAGAATTAGTGGTGAACACTCTGCGATACTGAATAAAATTATTCCCGTGGATAAAAGGTATAGAAAGGTATAGGTATAGAAATGAGTTTTCAAGAGTTGATTTGTAAGGATGAGATTTGTTTTTACGAGTTTGACCATGGAATTAGTGCACTGGCCGTTGAATCGGGTTCCAGTGACTGAATGGTATACGAGCTTTCCTTGTAACCGGAAGTTCTTGGGTTAGAACTCCAGTGGGTGCGTACTGTCGATGATTCCCAAACTAGAATGAAACAGCTGTCCAGTACTCCCAGCTGGTTTTCAATGTTTCTCTAACTGATATCGATCCGTGGTCAAACTCGTAAAAAAATATAAATGAGTACTCACATTTGGAAATATGGTTCAGCCATGTACTCTATTCTTGATAACGTTCATCTCGTCGTTTTCATGATTCTTAATGCTATGAGTAATTAGCAGATAAAACTACTACTTTAAGCAGATCTTCATCATTATGTATATATATATTTCTTTGCTTTCCGAGTGGAACATAGGGCTTCAGATTTTGAGCTTTGAAGTTGCGATAGTAGTGATGCTCAATTAAGTGAGTGAGGCAACTAGTCTCAAGCCTAACCTTCTCAAGGTTTGTAAACTGGGCGACGACCGGAAGTACGTTGACCCAGACCTTCCACGTGGCTAGCGAATTATTATATTAAGAATTGAAAGAGAATAAACTGAGTTTTATTAGAAGTATTCAAAAATCATTTTAACCTTACATTTACCTACAGTCTATTCGACTTTTAATTTACAGTTAAGAGACAATAAAGTAAATTTTATTTTAATAAGTTAATTTTTGTATACTGACTTTAAGAATGTCATAATATTTTTTTGTTGCTTTGATCATTAAGTCAAGTTATTTTTCCTTCCAAGAGTATTACATACACTTCGTCAGTTGAGCAGAACTACAAGAAAGTAAGACTTTCCTTCACTGCTAAAATCATCAGTGAAAGATACCGTTTAGTTGTGTTGGTGTTGTTTTGCATCAAAATTTGTTTACTTTTTCTCTTCAATTAAAAAGAAATTTTATTCTCGATAGTGTGGTGGTGGTGAAAATCTTTTACCCAAAAGTTTTCACCCTTATGATGAATAACTGACTGTGGGATTCGCAGTTAGTTCATAGCAAATAATGTCGGTATATCCATTGTAGGAAGTCCTACAGTAGGTTTAATGTTAGTTGAAATACTCCAGTGGCAGCGTCTATGACTGCAACATTAAATGACCAGAGTTCAGATCTCAGAAGGGAAATAAGCTACCTCAGACATATGATCTGCTGACAAATGCCAACAAACATGTGACCAACATCTAGAACTTTCTGAAGATCGCTGCCGACCATCTAGCATCAATCACCTACTTACACATTTATGAAATTCTTTTGCAAAGCATTTTATTGTTTCCTTGATGCTGGATATATTATTATTTTGATTTTATTCATTCCCTTCCCAGTGGAACATAGGGCTTCAAGCTTGAGCCTTAGATGTACATTAGCAGTAGTGTTTACGGTTTTTACGCCTCACGCCCAACTTTACCTCTTTACCGAGCATTCTACCGGCAAAGTGAGATTTAGAAGTGTTTCGGTTGGGATTCGAACCCTCAAGCCATGCTTTTGGTTGGGTAGCATTCTATCATTGAACCACCAAGGCACCTGATAATAGATATAAGCAGCTGTATGAGCATTCTTCTAGTCTATTAGGTGTTTATATTCTGTTGAATAGACTTGAAAACACACACAGACTTATTTTGTTACACACCTATGGGATGAGGAAAGTGTGTATTCAATAAGTTGGTGAAAAAAGGCAAAACACTTTTCACTAGTGATTCACAAGTTCAGAAAGAGCCCAGTAACAATATAGTGTACCTTTATTTGTTGAACTTCCACTTCCAACCATCATCGAATAGATTATCTTATGTCAGCCTGTCCAGAAAGTATACTTGTCTATTAGTTGAAACTTCATGTTTTTGTCATATTATTATGAAAAACTAAAAGCGTTTATTTTTCAACATCTGTGAGTGTGTGTGGCTTTTACAGGTAGGTGTTATTTTATCAAAATGTGAAAGCATCAATATAATTGTTTCCACAAATCTTAGATACTATCTGCTGCATTATTAAAATACACCTCCGTGAGTTCCGTTTATGGTAAGAAAAAAAATAATGAATGAGGTGTGCATGAATATTTTTCTACACATCTTTTTAGGTGGATGGTGACTAGCAGTTGAACCCGAGGCACTGGATATAGCTTCTTTCCCCAGTGATTAATAGTATTTCCATTGAGGTCAAAACCCAATACCTATCGTTTCAAACGCCAAAGTCTTGTCCACTAGGCCACTCGGACCATGAGAGCCACCTATTTGTACATCGGGTACCAGTTATTATCCACCACCCACCAAATTACTTCAATTTTACCCACAGGCACCGTCGAAGCATCCATAGAAGGAGCCGATAAGTCAACAGAGGTTGAACACTTCGGTCCAATGAATCAACGGGTAGGTCCAAAGTGAATGAGATAGAAATAAAACCAAAGAACTGATTTTAAACAATTATAAGTTGAATTCCACAACACCGAATAAAAGACAATGAAACTATAGTGAATTTGAAAACCTTTATATTCAGCTGTCTATGATTCACTTAATCATTCAACTGTAAAGTAAAGATGAAGCCTACAATTCTAAAGATTCTTATATACGCATGCGAGTGCTAAACTTAATAAGTACAGAGTGTGTGAAATGAATTAGTTTTCAGTCAGATTGACAGTGAACTCAATGAAGATTGAGGTGTAAGAAACATCGGTAAATCGCTAATTTACATACTGAGTGTGCTAGGCTGATGACTACATACAAATTTTCGCATTTACACAAAACTTGCAGCTGATACAATTCTGAAAAGCCAGTACAACCTGGTATACTTGGCAATGTGTCACATCATGTGTTTGAAGGCTTAATCTATGAACTGACGACGAAAACCAAGATAATTTTTTAGTTATTATTTTCTTCCTTTACTTTCCCCAATAGAATATAGGGTTTCAAGCTATGGTATTTATTTATACGGGATGGGGTTACTAGCCTCATGCCCAACCTTCCCTCTTTATCAGTCTTATTACTAGCTTAGCGAGGTAAAGAAGTGCGTCGGCCGGGGATCGAACCCTGAACCACGTGCGTGGTTGGTGAGCATTCTATCACTGTGTCACTGACGCACAAAAATCAAGGTAAGTTGAGCTAGATTTCAGAATCTGTTTTGTTGCACTAATCTCGACAAGAATCAGCTACGTCCTGATGATTGCAGTGCATTTATTCTTTTGATAATGCATCCAAAAAGGCAAAGTGTAATTAACCACCGCTAAAGAAAACTAAATAACTTCTTGATTTTGAATGGAATACATTTAAGAAAGAAGTGAAGCGGAAAATTAATTACTCTCTCTCTTAAAAATAATTAATTAGAGATAAAATGGTTTTCTGCTGGCAACCTAGAGTCATGACAAAAATAAAAATGAAATGTACACTTACTTTCATGAAAATTTAAAACAGCTTGTGATAATTCATGCAGCCATGGATTACGTTTTTTCATTACTAAACCATAACTGTTTCGACCAAACACTTCACCTGTGGTGATCAATTCACAATCCAATGAAACTTCATAATGTAGTCTTGCTGACTCCCAAATAAATGCTTTCAGTGAACCAGATTTAATCGCCTTTTTAAATAAATTAATAAATATATATCACTGCTTATTTGACAGTCTTCTGGATAAATAGCAATTGATAAGATAAAGCTTAATCCTGATCAGTGGAACTGAACTTATTTTTGCCATAACAGCAATATTTTTTGTGTTTAAATATGAAGGGAAAAGTTATTTTGAAGTTCAGAAGCCAACTTTTGTGGACTATCTCCAAGACAAAGGCCTAACTGGATTCATACAGTTACAAATTTACACATAGTTTGCCACTGTGTGCCTCAAATGCCCATCGTCAGCTTGCAGCAACGCATCTATCTGAGTAAGGAGTTGGTTACCCAGTAAAATAATCAATGTGGCTGTTTAATCTGAAGAAATCAAGTGTGTTATGAGGTGACTGAATGAAGAGATACACTAATTTAAGATATTGTGTTTCGTGTTAATTGATTGTAAACACTGTGATACAGATGCATCAAACTCTTCACTACAATGCAATATTGTATTCTAAATCGACATGGTTAATTTCATTGTGGTAAATGACATACCCTGATTGTTTGTAATCACTGACAAATTGTTTACGACTTCACCGGTATAGCTAGAAATTCATCAAGTAGTTAAATGTGTCATTCCTCATAGACGCCAAAATGGAAAATGTGTACGCAGTGTTTGCGTTAATTCTCTCACAATGGAGATATATAAATATGTTCTCTCAGAATACTTCTCTATTAAGAAGACAGGGGTTTTAATTTTTAGATAAAGCAATAAGAAGACGTAATTTGTCTGAATCGTGTAATGTATTTGCGCAACACATTTCCAACAATCTGATCACACACGGACTTGTCATAGGAATATATATGAAATTAATAAAGAGGTAAGAGATGAGAAAATAGACTTAGGTCAAGTTAAAAGGACATATTCAAGGTCAAAATAACAATGAAGATCACTAAACTTTCATCCCGTTCCCTATATCTTATTTGAGGGATTTATTACTTCTATGTACTAACAATGTTAGGTTTACATTTGAAGGCGACTGTTTCTGCCAAGTTGATGGTGTTGCTATGGGAAGTCCGTTAGGACCCCTTTTAGCAGATATTTATATGTCGTACATTGAGAATTTATCGGAGGATTTAATCGAAAATGTGCCACTTTATAGAAGGTATGTAGATAACATTGTAATCATCAGTGATAAGTCTTGTTCTGCCACCTCAATTTTAAATCGAATGAATGAAGTTCAGAATAGCATATCACTTACATCTGTAGAAGAGGAAGATAATTGTTTATCTTTCCTAGACATATTGCTTAGTCGACGGCTTGATGGGTCAATAAAAAGATCTATTTATAGAAAACCTACCTGGACAGGACAGTATCTTAATTACCACAGTTTCTGTCCTGTTCGGTACAAAAGAGCCTTAGTAAGGTACCTCTTCAGTAGAATCCAACGAATATGCACTGAAGACACACTTGATGAAGAAGAAAGAAAGTTGACAAAAACTCTGGTTGATAACAATTATCCAGACAAGTTCATCAGGAGATATAAAGTAGTCAGAACACCAAGACCCACTCTCCTATTCGCTTCTGAAAAAGACATGTACATCAAGCTACCCTATATGGGACATCATAGCAGCTTGATAACTAGACAAAGATTGAACGCTGCTGTTAAAAAGACTTTTTATGCAGCTAATATCATAATAATTGAGAATGTGAAGCCAATATATCTATCTAAGCCCTTTGAACATGAGAAAAATGATGTCACATCCCACTATATTTACCAATTTGAATGTACGTGTGGACACACATACATAGGAAGGACTCATCTATCTCTGCAAGTAAGGGCTGGCTTCAGAGCATATTCCTAAATGGCTCCAGAAACAAATGGAATCTTCAGAATCCATTAATGGTGAGAACAGGAGACCTAGCTCTTCTATTGCGAAACATATTATAGAGACAGGACATAAAATTGACGTTAACAGATCTTTTAAACCTATCTATAAAACGTGTTTGGGGCGTATCCTTAAGTTTGTGGAAGCCCTAGCAATTAGAAAGTTTAAACCACCTTTATGCGTTCAAAAACAATTCGTCATCACATTAAACCTTCCTTGGTAAATTTTGTTTTGATACCATAGCAGATGTACTATTACCTCTGTTATTTGGTTCAATGATCATTGTTATTTTTACCCTGAATATGTCCTTTAAACTTTACCTTAGTCTGTTTTCTCACCTCTCAACTCTTCATTAATTTCATATACATTCCTATGACAAGTTCGTGTGTGATCAAATTGTTCGAAATGTGTTGCGCAAATACATTACACGATTCAGACAAATTACGTCTTCTTATTGCTTTATCTAAATTCATAAAGGGAACTAATTGTTTTAAGTTTTAATTTTTAGTAAATTTTAACGCGTTTAAATTTACATCGCTTCATCTGATTACTTTTTTGGTACAAATATATGCATATGTGGATTGTGAGTGTGATAAAACTCAGTGAATTGTCTGTGAGGACCAATACTCGCCGGTGATATTCACTACCTGTTGCAAATTGATACAAATTAGATTTCGAGAGCCACTGGATTTCATAACAATGTCTGAATGGCTGACGGGCTTATTTCGTAACCTGAAGTTCCCGGCTTGGATCTACCATGGGATCATGGATGAGTACTGCTACAGGGTCCCATACTAGCCCGAAACAGCTCTCCAGTACTCCCTAGTTTTGAGTGACTTTTTAACAGAAGTCAGTTCATGATCAAATCTGAAATTAGTCAAATCGTTGCAAATCAAAACTTAAAAACATTAGATAATCCGTATTAGTTTCTTACTTGAATGGCTTCTTCAACAGAATCATAATTACTGGTCTCCATAACACGATACATGGTAGCGAACTCCACTTGTCTTTTAATGTACATGTCCACAGGGCTACCACGAACAGTAGCAAATAAAAAATCTTTTTGAGGATTACGAAGCTGTAATAAGAAAAGTTGTGAATATATTATATAGTACAACTCTGTCAAAAAAAGATGGGATTTCCGTAAAATTTGAAAATAAAATTTAATTTTATAGTTTTACCCTCTGTAGATTGTTGACTACTATCTTCTGATTTTTATTTGTAGTGTTCACAAATGTTAACTATGAGAATATTTTTTTTAAAACACACAGGTCATCACATAAAGCACTATTTCCGGACTTCATATATGAAGTTAGATTTGAAGTAAATTCAACATTTCAGCAGGTAGTACGAAGTGGTGCACATTTAGGTGAAAACAATAAACACTTTGGGGTTAGTCTCACAAATTACAAAGGTAAATTAGATAACTGGTTTGCCTACAGCAGTTACTACTATTCTGAGTTTGACCAATTATTCTTCTTGGGCCAGCAAACTATGATGTCAGGAATTACCTTATGTCACACCGTTATAGATATGACTCTAAAATCAATTTAGTGATACACCAAACATTATGATCAGCTCACAACAAAAAGTTACTCACATAATATCAAATATAAACAGTGGTTATGGCTAATTTACTCTGTAAGCGATACTTAACTCAGAATTTGATCACAATTGGCATAGCTTTTATATACGCACATTTCAGTGAAATTGAGGAATGGCTTACATCAGCCTTTAAGAGATTTTCTTTTGTTTGGTAGTCTACTTATACTACCTAGAGAATGACCTTCCTTCAGCTGAATCAACGCAGAACAAAACTGGATGTCAAGACTGAGATTGTCGTAGCTCAAAACAATCTGCCTATCATTTAATCACTGCTGACTGTGACACAGTTAAACTCTTCTCATCGTCAGATGTTTGTCACTACTTCAAATGGCATCAAAATGTCAAACTCCTAATGGATTATAATAAGTAAAAAGGTAGAATTCATAAGTGATTTTAGAAAGCAAATGTGTATTCGAAATTCACTCCGCGTATCTATGCTTACTGAGGATTGAACCTGTTAAGTGTTTCACATCTTAAGAATAATCGTTTTTCCATAACTTCTTTATAAATCTGACAAAGTGATTTGGATATATATATGTCTGTCTTCAGCAACAACTCCCTGCTCGGACGTGGGGCTAGCAACCCCACCCTGTAAACAAAACTACTACAGAAACTTCAGTACGATGAGTCTCCTTGCGGTGAAAGAATAGGTATGCGTGGGGACATGGAACGTTCGCACTATGTATGAGACTGGCAAAGCTGCCCAGCTTGCAAACGAGATGAAGAGATATGGTATTGAAGTAATGGAAATATGTGAAATGGAATGGGCTATGTTCCCCCTAGGAACTAAAGGAGACAATAATAATAAAAACCTCAACAACAAAGTAATCAATACTAAAACAAGTGAACAGCAGGAATAGGAAATTTTCGGAGACTCACCACGTATAACTTATGATGAATATTCACTATTAGATATGTTTTTCTTCTATTTTTACAGAATACAAGTATCGGAAATCAAGCATTACACAGCTTTTTTTTCTATTGTTATTATTATCATCCACAGGCAGGATATACAAAATTCTTAAAGGTGGTTTAAATGAATCACATCTGATCATTAAATAAATTGCATTTATTGTAATTACACAAAGTGCAATAAATAGCTAATATTTTATTTAAAAGAAAGCCTATTTCTCTCCATTTTTTCTTTAAAAAATCCATTAGAAAACATGAGTCATCTGAAATAAAAGATTTGTTAAATGAAGTGTAATTTTTTATGGATGCTTTCGTCCTAGGCCATTTATTCTTTTTATTCCTTATTTTTGGAGTTATATATGTATGACAAAGTGTGAGGCACAGTTCATTTAACGTACGCACAAGCACACACACACACACGTTTGAATGCTAAAATCGTGTCCACCACTTCTTTTCATTCATGAAGACGGACACTAAATCATCCTGATATTTGGGCGAAAAGGAATAAAATATTGAGTGTTTGTTGCGTTTTTTTTTTGCCTAGTGTAAAATATATTGAATATGTATATCTAGTGAAACTGTAAAATGCATTGTTTAAGTGAACAGTCGAATAATTTTCACTGCTAGTGTATGATGCAGCACTTTCAAATTTAAAAATGACAGTAACTGTTTTTATTTGAAGAAAACTAAAACAAAGTTGTGTATTTGATGGTCAGTTTTAACAGATTATTCTTTAATGACGATTGTTTGACATGTATGACAGTAGTACTCTGAATATATATATATATATATATATATTGTAGCAAGATGCAGCCAGACGGTACCGATACGATTTAATTCATTGACAAAATATCTAGATTTAAGCAGAAAGGATAATGACTAAGGTGATATACTTTTAAGACTTGTAGCGGTAGGTAATTCCCCCGGAATTATTGGCCACAGCATTCATCACTGAACATTGGATGCTGACCCTCACTTTTTTAGTCGATTTGTTCAGCTGAAGGCCTCCTTTCAAGCACCCACGCCATTGGGCACGCCGTCATGTTACGTTCATTCGTTCCTGTACGATCCCTAGCTAGTTAAGCAATCACCTCGCACTCCGATTTGGTCCCGAAATATAATTCATAATATATGTCCGATCATTTTAAGTGTTTTGCTTTGCCTTTTGTCTACGCGGAACTAATACTGTAGAAGTTGATGGTATTAGATATGACGTTAGTATACTTCTTACTGTCCATGAATGTCAACTCTCTTAGCCTCTAAAGACTTCTTATCTCACCATTATGTTTTCACATTGAATTGTTGTGTTGCTTTGTTTGACCAAACTAGCGTAAACAAATATCCTAATACTTCGCATTTATTATTGTGTTCTAACGTTGTCATTACTCGACATCCACAACGTAAATCAAAAGGCACTTTAGAAGGTGTTCGAACGTGTATTCTCTCAGTAATCAAAATTCAAAAGTTGGGCGAGTACAGTGTTTCAACTGTTATCACACAATCTTCAGAGTGATAAACAAGTCAAAGTCCAGTTACACAGTAAAAGTATACTATGATGATTAATAATAAAATAGGTCACTACAGAGTTACAGGATTTTATTATTAGCTGACATCAGTTAGACAACCACTGGAAAACCGAGGAATACTGGACGGCTGTTTCGTTCCAGTTCGGGACTATTCAAAGCACGCCCTCACAGGGGTTCGAGCCCAGGACCTCTCGGTCATTTTTGAGCTCGTAGACTAATATGCCACTGGGCCTGTTCCCACCACCCATCAATTCCAACTTCTGCCTTTTTATTAGAAGTCTGAGGGAATGAATTTCCCCAAACTATCAGTTCTGTTTTACCAAATAAATTTCAAACCATTCTCTTGCTTTTCTAACGCTTCAGACTTTGCTCTGAAGTTTGGAAAGATTTATCCAAGAATTAGGCCTTACCCTAGTCCTGAAGACAAACTCTGATCATCAAGTCATATGCATAAAGTTTTAGTGCATATAACAGGTGCAGCTATGATATTTGTTTGTTTAATTTTATCAGGTAATTCTGATTCTATTTTCTGTTTCCTTCAAAAGAAAAGTATTAAATGAATGCATTTTTCTTTATCAAATGAATTTCTTTTCGTTAACATACTAAGTTGGTACCTTGTAATGTTCATTGTGAGTAACTTCTATGAAATTTCATTGTTCAATGCCTTTTCTGTTTATTCATTGTAGTGCCTCAGTAGTTGAAGAACCTTGACAATAACAACACTGAACATTCAATAAAACCACAACTACGCTATCTCATTTTCTGACTTTGTGGGCTAAGTGACTTAAATAAGTGTGAATTATTGTTTTTTACGAGTTGATCACGGATTGATATCAGTTACAGAAACATTGAAAACCAGCACTGGAGTACTGGACAACTGTTTCATTCTAGTTTGGGAATCATCGGCAATAATCACCCACTGGGGTTCGAACCCAAGACATTCCGGTTACAAGGCAAGCTCGTATACCATTCAACGGCTAGTGCATGAATTCTAACTTCTATCAATTAGTGATTTAGCGTGGCCACCAACCAATGTCATCTGTGAGAACTCCATCCTCACACTTGACTGGATGGACCTCACTGGTCACGACTTCTCACTAGAACTCCAGGAAACTCCATCCTGTAGCAAGTCACTAGCGAGCATCAGATTAATTTTCTATGGTTGGTTTGTAAGGACTAGTTGTTCTTTTCAATGGTTTTCAATGGTTCTCTAACTGATATAAATCCGTCATCAATTCATAAAAAAAAATTTAATCCTTACAAACCAACTATAGTGAATTATTTTCTTAGAAATTTACTTCAGGTGCAGTCGTTTGGAGAGAAATTGATATTATCAACTCCTTGTTTCAAAATGTCCGCAGCTGCCTTCAATTTTAAATTTTTTATCATTTAGCTTACTTTATGCATTCTAATTTTAATCTGTATCCAACTTTAGCAGTGTAAAGATAACGATTTTATTACATTGTTTACTTTGTATGGGATTCTCTGTAGTTTATATGACTTGAACTGAGCGAAATTCAGGTAATACCATTTTCCTTGTATATTGAACCGTACTTGTTAAAAAAGGCTTATAATGCCATTCTTTTTTAAAATATAAAGACCCTACTGAAGCTGTACATTTTTAATCACGCACTTATAAACTGATTTACTAAAACAGCAAAAGCCGTGCATGGATTGGAGATCTTGAGGAGTTCTAGATGCACATGAAGTTTGCAGAACGCTCCCACCATACGCTAGGACTGATAATATGTTGTTTTAGTGAAGGAAAACATTTATGCAAGTAAGCATCTCAAGAATACAGATACAAGGAGTCTACTGACGAGGTTTTCTACAGAAGTGAATAAGTGGGCAGGCATTTTATTTCATTAGAAAATGTTTTTTTTCAGGTTATTTTTCCAGGTCCAGGTGATTGATTATGTTTGATCGAAATGCTCGGTCTCTATTTATATGTTGACTCCTGGTACGGACGTTTCGACGATTTCTAAGGATTAACGTCAAGTTATTTTGGATAGTGGTTGCTAGCAGTTAAATTCAGAATGCGCATTCAATCTTGTTGGCGACTTAGCTGAATACACCTGCATTTCTAGAAAGTGAGCATTTCTCTCCAGCATAACCAATCAACGGAAAATGCGAAACTAAACCCTTCCACAAGAGGTGACTCTTGTAGCTTAGTGCATAATGCTTTGGCTTTTGAAATGATGGGTACAGGATTTGAGTCTCAGTGGGAACACTCATCACTCATTAGAGATGCAGGTACATCCAGCTGACTAGTTCGTAGTAGGATGAAATGTGCATCCTATATTCCACTGCTAGTCACCACCAACCATACTAACAAACAGTATTGTTTGTTATAGGTTTTCGTTTATTACTAATATTGCTAAGTTGTAAATGTATCTTTGAATGTTGCACTCTACAAAGTTATTATCACAAGTAGGATTAGTTCGATAACAATAAGTGTGCTGAGTAATAATAATAACTATATAGACGTATGAAACAGATAGTTACCTATGCACTGACCACTATACTTTCACACTATGAAGATCAATACACAGATTACGCGTAAGTCAGGAAATGTATAATTCATCTACACCTACTGTGTAAGCTAAAGGTGTTGTGACAGCGAAACAACCTGCATATAAATAGACATAAATATACCTACAAACTAAGTAACAGATTTAAGGCTTCCTTCTATTTTATGAAATGAAGAATAGTTGTAAAAATGATTCTTTATCCAGTTCATTGTTGAAAAGCGGGAATAATTCACTAAACTGAAGGTGGTTCAAAGAAAAAAGAAGCTTAAGTGATAACAGCAGGGGTGAATCAATATATGGAATTCTTAGCCAATCTACTCCTCAAGGTAACCAACCTGTCAATTTCATACTTTACTGCAAGAACCGTTTTAAAAAGTAAACGTTTCAGGTGTAGGGAACAGTAGTCCACTAGAAATTCCACGAGTACTGATTACAGATATCATGTGAAACATTATGTAGACGTCACATAGATTAACAGATACATGTTTTTCATTATCATTCGCTTGATACGGATCACTGTGTGAAATCAGGTAGAAACAAGTAGTTTTGTTCCTTACCTAAAAATGTTTAGACACAACTTTCGTCAACTTGAAGCAAGTTCAAAAGATAATATAGTTCTTCCTTTAGTAAAATTATGCTTTGTCATGCTGATAAGCATAATCACAGCTCTTTCATTGGACACTAGTAACTAGTGTGGTGTGTCTAGTCCTTTCTTTAGTGCAGACTGAATTCTATCAGTCAGGTTTGCAATGTGGACACCATTCTAGGTAGCTCGCCATCGTGCCAACTAGGGAGAAACCTAGATCCAAGGCTTCCTGCCGATTGCCTCCAACCATCTAATAAGCACAGTTCTTTTTATGTTCGTTTCTTTAAATAGTGAAAGCACCCATCAGTGAAAATGGTAAGAAAGTGATGTGCACAATTAACTGTAACCATAGTTATTCTCAAATCAGCTATACAGTTAACACTTCAGAATCGAATGACGCATCATTTCCTATTTCTATTAATTTATAGTATACTGTGACAGTTACCGATGAGTGTTTGTCCCCATATTTGAGCCAAAAGCTCCAACTCAAACCTGATAGCTAATAAGTACTGGAATGATATTTGGCTGCGAGATCCATGAGTACTTGATTGCCTTTTATGGTGAAATTAGTCAAATCATAAAGGATACCATGCTATATGGTGAGAATTTCTACTTCAGGAAATTCACTGAAATAATGAAAGGACCCAGAATAATCAATACAAAGGAACCGTTCATTGTTTTAAATGTTTCAAGTGCATAAAAGTTTGCCATAAAATCAACTGAATCCTAAAGAAATCTAGCAATGGAATTTGTAAATAAACTCGAAAATAGGATTCATACATCTTATTTTCTTATTCAGCCCAATGATTTGACTGATTTGAAAGTGTTTCTATTAATAGTAAACGGATACAGCTTGAGCAAAAATAATGTACACTGTCACTACTTTCAATTTTCATAATGTGCAACAGTGTTTGCCTGCCTGGTTAAGAGAATGAGATCAAGGAATACGGCCTTCTACAAACAGCTTGGAACTAAGGTTGCATTGATAAGATGTGATCCTTAAGAAAAACTGAATCAAGAAAATTTTGAACAGACTGAAGGATACATCCTTAAAACTCAGTCTAGAGACGAAATATATAAATATATATATATTAAAGGAAGTGAAAGTTTTGACTGTGAGAGCGTATGTAAGATACCATGCGCAGCAACGTTTCCAATATTGGATTGATATTGTAAACAAAAGCTGTCAGGAATTTGTCGTTAGTTAAAATCATGAAGTTATTTTGAGCTACTTATTCGTCTATGCAGGTTCGTTAAAAAAACACAAATGTGAAAATTAAAATTATTCAGAATATACTGAAATTTTTAAAATATAGTTCTGATGATAAATTCACTTACTCGAACATCATCGATTCCAGATATTAATGCTTCAGGTCTGTCCAAAACAAGGAAAGCAGCCAAGTTTGCAGTATAACTGGCCACGATGATCATAGCAAATCCAGCCCAAACCATACCCAGAACACGAGCACTGAAAGATCGTGGAGTGCCTTCACCTATTCCCGAATTTAAAAGAACGCCCCAAGCAAAATAAACAGCACCGCTAAGATTTATGCCTTCATCTTCCCGTGAATTGTTTGCGTGTGAATTTAACAAAACTAGCGATTTACTATCGGATGCTTGTTTTTTCGATGTCAATGGTTGCAGAGTTAAATAAGTGTTATTATCATTCTCTGATGGATTTAACTTTGTATTGAATCGACCAAATGGGGAAAATCGATCCAATAAATACAGTACAAAAGCTACAACGTGTACAGACAAAGCCACCAGAACCCACAGTGAACTTTCGAAAGGTTGTAGAAACGAACCGAGATTCGATCTGGCTCTTTCCTATGAAAACAGAAAAATGTAAGTGTATATGTTAAGGTGCACCAGAAGTAATGCATCATATATTCGGATGAATCAAAGGAAAATTTTGTTTCTAAATGATAACCTGTAATATTAAAGCTGATCGACATTTTCTGACACTTAGTACTGCATCAAGCTTACACGATAAAACTTGGTTTTGGGATCGCGACAACAAAGTGGATGAATCTTACTGTTCACTGACAAATGATTTTTCCAATATTCTTTTGAAATCACATCATTTTAAACATTTTCCTACCAAAAAGGATCTTTCCGGATAGATGAGAGTGAAGAATAAATCAGTACTTACCACTACATTGTCAGTAAACGTATTCCTGTGTGGGGAAAATCTGCAACTGTTTTGTGACTTGTCTTCATTTTCCCTACTTTGTGTAGCAGATTTTTTGAATACCACTAAAATATTATTTTTATTTCACACCAATAAGCAGATACCTTCGACTTTGTACAGTGAACATTAGTATTACTGAAACCTACGAAACATTCCTTATACACAGTAAAATAATCAAACTAGTGTATCTGGTGATTTCTTCTTAACAGTAACATTTCGCCTAAGTGTGTTATTAGGCGATCGCTTTCATGTCAACATATTTTGTGATTTATCGCGAAATATGATACAGTTGCCGTCGTATTGTCAAATTTTGTTCCAAGTCATTGGTGTAGATTCATTTATCCAAGAATTTTAAATGATTTCTGCTGCAGGCTATTGTTGAAACCTGTCACCTTACTCACTGATGATGCAGTAATCTGTGACACCGAATGAATCCAAGTAAATATTTGTCCGCAGTTTAGTGGTAAAATGCTTGCGGTCCAAACGAGATGTTCGGTTTTTATTCCCAGTCGAAGCACTCCTAAGCCTCGCCCATCCATTAGTTGGTCCATAGAAACAGGGAAGAATGAGCGTAAGGCTTGCAGCCCTACCCCATAGAAACAAAGCTTGTAGCTCTATAATGAGCTTGGGACTCAAAGGATAAAAAAGCCTAGAATTGTAGACAGTTAGTAGTAATATGTAACAACTTGTTCGTGTTCCCAGAGATTTCTGGTAAACATACATTAAAAAGAATGGTTACTGAACAAAGAATATTCTTTTCGATATCTTTATGATCAGGTTATACTGTTATATATGCATAATAGTGAATAAAGTAGTATTATTACCAACATTAATGTTTAATATAGCGAAATTTCCGATTCATTCACTATTATGTATATATAACTGTAGAACCTGATTATAAAGATATCGGAAAGAATATTCTTTGTTCAGTAACCATTCTTTTGATTAATTTCAATGGGTATTTTTAATTAGTTAAAACACACACACACTGCCTGTTTAAACAAGTCAACATGATGCAGTGTGATTAAGTTTTTTCTTCAGTTGCGATAATGACTTCTTGTAATCACTTGATAAATATAAAAGCCTTTCTACCTTGCATTTGAAAACACGAAACAAACCATAATTTTCATCTCCTACTACATTTTTCAGCCCAGTCAATAAGTTATTCAATGCATTGCCCTTCTTTACTTAAGAAATAATCGAAGTGGCTATATGTGTAGATGTCTGTAGTCTACCATTTCACTACTTAGTATTTACTCATAAATGGAACGCTATTTAGCAATTATTTAAAAGACATCAAATGTGAGACAAAGTTAAACTATTCATCTTACTAAAGGCTATTAATCAACCATAAATAATGAGAAAAGCGTGATATTTCGTTTTATTTACGGCACTATTTGACTGAATGCCTACAAAACGTTCAGTCACCATGTTCAGTGTTTTATTGAACAAACTATCAGATGTCTAAATTAAAGCATAACGCTTTTCTAATGATGTGTTTAGACTATATCAAACTGTATTAACTTTAAAATATATATTAACAACACTGATACTATGTCGATCAATAAATTAATTTTATTTATTGAAGTAAGTTTTTAAGAATAAAGAACTTATTGTTTGCTGCACTATTCAAACTAGTACTAGTCGACTTACTAGCTCAACATTGAACAGTAAGTTTCAGCTTCTGAATACTTTTTCCTGGACGGGATAACTGTCCATTTATCATGGTCATTAAGAAAAGTGCCTAGCTAATTGATTTAAAGTTGCTGCAAATCAACCGCATTAATAACCTCCAGAAACAGAGAAACGAAAATGAACATATTCTAGTCTACTGGATGAGTGATAGTGTACAGGTGTCGGGGTCTACAGATATCACAGTGACTGATAATTGCATAATTATTGTCGACTTCCTTTAAGATAAATATGTGACAGTCCTAGTTGAACAATCATAAGATGTTGGATTTGAGAACAGTTATTCACCTGTGACAGTTTAGGACGTGGCAACTATTCTCATATTCTCTATGAGTCAGAATACCAACAAGATAAACACAAGTGTTAGATCAAATATGAGCTGTGTCTTGTGATATCCGTTACCAGCTAAAATATCTCTAGAAGCCAGCAATACATGTACAACAGATAACTGCAAAGCAAGGACAAAGCAAGGACTAGCTTTTATTACATTTGTGATTGTTATAATGAAATCAACCTTCTAATCCTTCTGAATTTGAAAACGCTGTTTGATTTATTAAAATAAATACACTATAAAGTGTTGTCATCTGATGCTTTGAATATAGTCAGTTTAATATTTTTTAGAGAATTATAAAAGTTTTAAACAAAGAATATCAATCAGTTGAAATTTCAGCTATATACACTCAACTGATTCAACTCTCAAAAGCAAGACAGACTGTTTCTTGATGAGAAAATAAAGGGGAATCTTTAATGGAAAAAGCATTGCATCAGATGACACATATTGTCAATTATTTTACCTGAAAACTCTCTGTAAGCAGTGAATATCACGCAATAAAGCACTACAAATTCCGTAATGTTCTGTGCAAAAATAAATTTATGACAATTTTAATAAGCTGACACCAATGGAAAACCTAGGAGCAATGGACAGCTGTTTCGTCCTAGTTCGGAACTCTTCATCATTACTCACTCACCAACTGGGTTACAACCCAGGAACTTCTGGTTACAAGACTAGCGAGCTTGTAGACCAAATCCAATGGCCCATGAAGCATAACTTCTGCCAATTCATAACATAGCGCACCACTTTGCAACGTCTTCTTCGATGAGTTACTGCCTCACCTTCAACCTGCTGCACCCTACTGGTCACGGCTTCTCACTGGGACCCCAGGTTAACTGCCTGAATAGTGATTGGTTTTGTAAGGATTTTGTTTGTTTCCAATGTTTCTCTAAATGATGTCATGTCTCTCATGATGAAATCCTCCTACCAATCAAACAAAATCCCTACCAAACCAATACTTGAAAAGATAATCATAATAATTCTTGTCCTTCCAGAATTCGTTTTAAAACACTTTTGACAGCAGCTGGGTTAAGAGTTCCAAAGTGCTCATTATCATTTAACTTTATTAGAAGTGTCTTAACACTAGTGATTCATTTTGTCTTCCAGAGACCGATCTCCCTTCCCGATAAAGGTTGGTAAATTTAAATGAAACGTACACAATAATCCTTTGAAATAAACTTTCTAAAGCAAGAGGTAACCTTATAAACTTTATCTGCAACCCTAAGAATGTATTTTCTTTTTCTTTCCTGAACTCAGAAAGTTTTATTATTGGTCGTAGACTGATTTAAATGATCCAGCAGTTATTCATAGTTAAAACTCGAAGACTAAATGGTTATTCTCAGGATCTTCAAGAATACACAAAATGGAGTTTAAAGTAGTTAGTTCGACAACACTGTGGGGATTTACAGGACAGCATAATTCTCGCTTTCTCTATGATGATAAGTTAAGCTGCATAGTAAGTTCTATTCATTTCCAACTTGAGTTTTTGTTTAGTGACCAGACTTCATTAATCATCCGTGAACGGCAAGGATATTTAAAAATTCTTTTTGGAAGCTGATTGGATCGGTAGAGCTCTTTGGTTGACAATTCCCCAACGCTTGATGAATCTCAGTGGGTAATCATTATCTAACAATATTTCAGTCAGGTGTTGTCTTTATTCTTCAATTGTGTCGTTTGTGCATATATGGTAAATGCGTTTGAACAAACACTTAGCCAACGATTTTTATGCTGTAGTGGACAGAAACAGTGATAAATTAGATACTGTCCCGTCCATGTCAACTTTCTGTAGACAGATTGTTTTACTGACCCATCTTCTCGGTGGGTTATGAGTACATCTAAAAATGGTAAGCAATCATTATTCTCTTTAATGTATGTTAGCAATATGCTGTTTTGTATTCTATTGATCCGGTTTAGGATTTCTATGGCGTCTGTCGGTTTATCACAAATGACTATTAAGTTATCCCCATATCTCTTATAAACTTTTTTAGTGATGTCCTCCACTAGGTTCTCAAAATACGACCTGTATATTTCAGCTAACAATGAATCTAGGGGACTTCCCAAAGCAACACCATCGATCTGAGGAAAATGCTCCCCCTCAAATGTGAACTTAATATTGCTAGTAACTATTTTAAATAAGATATGGACACTGGTAATAGGAAATTGTTGTCAGATATGTAATCACATAAAATATCAACCATCTATAAAAGAGGTACATTTATAGATAAAGAATCAACGTCTAAAGAGAACATGGTTTTGTTCTTTATATCAACCTTATGAAGACAATCAATTAACTCAAAAGTGTCTTTCAATGAGAACTTACAGAAGCTTCTTCTAATAGTCTCTAATATTTCCACTAGCCACTGTGCAAGTTTGCAGGTTGGAGATCTGCACACTGAAATTATAGGACGGAGGGCAATGTTAGGTTTATGTGTTTTAGGCAGACCATACATGTGTGTTAACAGGGACTCCGTGGGCTTTAGTGAGTTGAATTTCTCTCTGTTAATTGCACTCGTGTTTAAGATTGTTACTGGATTATTTGTCACCATATTCTGTACATTTTCCTTTCTTACCCACACCCTTGCGTCATCTCCCTACTTATTATTTCTGACCTTGACCTGTGCACAATCTGTCCTGTACTGTATAAAATCATACTTTCCTGCCTTCTAAAAACTGTGTATGAGAAGTATGTGTGTGATCAGAATGTCCGTAATGTGTTACGCAAATACAATACACGTTTCAGATAAACTACGTCTTCTTAGTGTGTAGCCGAAAATGGAGTTAACTTCTTACCGCATTGCAAATCAAGCAGAAGGCTTATCATGTGGATATGTGCATGGCAGCAGTTTAAACAGATAGTTACACTTTAATAAAAGAGAAGATAATCCGGCAGCAAAGAGTATTGAAAAAAGATTACCATCTCGCTTTTGTGCGAGTTGTTTAGATTACTGTTAGGAACCTGTAGTTCATACCTATCTTATCGAGTTTAGCATAAAAAATAGGCCTATGATAATTAGATGGGACTGAAATGCATACTCATGACATGGCCAACTGATTGTAGAATGGGGACTAAGCGTAGGAAATCCTTTTAGTGTACTAAAGATTTCAAGAAGTAACGATCAGGAGTTACGAGAAATTTAAATCAAAAGCTGAGCTTCCCTCACGTTTTGATTGATGATTGCAAATGTTCTACATGTTCTACATATGAATGCCACCTTCACAAATTTATTTGAAAAGAAAGACTAGACGCGTGGATACTAAAATGAGGTGGCATACAACTTTTATAGCAAACACGGTAACCGAAGTGTCCTAATGATTTTATGCTGCATTAGTTTTCAGTTAAAAAGAAAAGAAACTAAAAATCAAAATGGATCACCAACAAGTTCAATAAATTCAACAAATCAGTCAAATTGTACACTGAATAAAGTTTGACTATTTCCAATAAAAAATTAATAAAACAATTTTAACCTACTCGTTTGACTAAAATAGTAATTCCTAAATATTTAAATGGTTTTGTGAATTCCACTCGTGCAGCTCTTTCAGGTGTAATTGAGACAGGAGCAACGGCTAGATCAGCCTTGCCCGACAGAATCTCACCTATAATACCTGTCCATTTGTGTGTTTCATTCTCCCCAGCATCACCAATTTGACCATCACCGACCAAATGTAAATCATAAGTGAATGGAGTAGGCGTTAACTCTAAACCTGTTCTGTTAGCCAATAGTCGAAGAAGATCAATACAATAGCCGTAGCAACAGTAAGACTTTTTCACACCTTGAATACAGACAAAAAAAGGAAGAAACAGAAAGAAATTTGGTTGTCACAAGATGATAAAAAAGAAGTGATATCAAAACTAAGTCTTAAGAATAAAAAAAAACTTGATGAATGGCTAACAATGTGGATTATTAACTACCGATTTTATTCGGGAGTTTCAGTTCCCTTGAAGCATATACTGATATCCTAAGCAGCAGAAAAGTACTTTTCAACTAATCATTTTCCATAAGATCTTGCTTCTAGGGATCAGTCCTTTAGGCTATATTCCAACATTCCAGAGATGAATCTGATTCTATATTGTTGAGCGAATTGCGAAATAATCTTGCAAAGTCAAAATATTCATCTTTTCACCAGAAATACTTTAGCTGTATACAATTCTTTTGGAACTCACAAAAACCTAGTTAGCAGCACTGACCACTGAGGTATTAGCTCTTTGCTATTACATCAGAATCAGTTTTACATAGAATCTCAAATAACTATGATACATAATTTATTTCTGAGTACAATTTTTGTTGTAAATAAACACCACACTCAACTGCAAAGTTATAAAATTGAACGAGTAAGAAGAAATGATTTATCATGAAATTAAAATTCATAGAATAACAAACTGCTTCTTTTATTTTCGGTCAGTCAACAGAAAATCACTTCAAAAATCAGTAAAGCTACTGCTTATGACTGCACTCACCGAAGACATTAAACCACATTAAAGTAACTCTAAGTAGGAAGTACTGACAGTCCCAGCACCCTATCTGTTTATTGTCTTCATTTAAGCAGACAAAACTGAATAAGTTCAAATGCATCTGACACACATTAAAATGATACATGATACTGTAAAATCGTAATCGTATTGTGTCAAAACATGATACCGAGTACACTGACCAATTAGTTAGAATCCAACTATTGGTCCTCAGGGATTCTACTGATTTCTTCTTATAACACGAATCATTGAAATTCAGCGAGTACATGACACACTGTAAATAACTGACAACCGGATGAATTTCCTGCGGTTTTAATGAGAGTTCGTTACCTCTGCGATTCACAAAGCTGCATGGAAGGAGTGATAATAACTTTTTCAGCAGTTCCACTATATTTCACAAACTGACAAATCTTGGAATTCATAAACCCACCCTCAAGATCCTGAGTCCACTCGGAGGTAGGGTCATAAGTGCGTACTGATGAAGAGTCTCGAGCAAGTGCAAGTCAGATATTCAGTTTTTCCTAGTCTTCAGTGGTTCACTAACTGATCTATTTTAAAGCCAATCAACTTTTTTCTGAAACAATACACCTAGAAAACTACATCAGGAATGCATGGAACTCAAAGATGAAAGCTGTAGGGATATAATCGAAAGACATAATTAGTCGATACATGCGTTAAGCCGACAATCTAACGTCATATAAAAACACTCTTTTTCAAGAGATCAGTAATTGTTTAATTTTGAAACTTCCCCGTCATTCTAGACAAAGTCACTAATATAAGAGTAAAATTGATTATAAATTCAAGTGATGATTGTTTTTATAGCTTTAACAGTGAACAGTTTTTGTAGAATTCTAACATGTTTTATCACTGGAGGGTATTCTAAACCTGAAAATCTGCATTTCCACCATAATAATTACATTTTTACCCTCACTGATTTCATTTTATATCAATGAAAGTACAGCTGACATCGGTTAGCTGGGAATTTTCAATCAAACTGAAGAAGTGATTACACCTTGTCATTCTCATGAACGTGTAGGTATTTTAGGTTAACATTTGCCTACAGGAGATGACGATGGGTTAATATACAATTACTATACAATTTCCATAGGCGGATAAGATTCTTTATTTACTTTCATTTTTCAGTGAGTAACTTGAAATGTATTCATCACACATCTTTATATTGTCTATATTATTATCTACCAACCATTAAATTTATCTTCTGTACACTAGTAATTACAGAATACTAAATAAAATTTATTTTTATTTTCATAATAACCAATAAGAATTTCGCTATCCACACAGTAGTAGTAGTAGTAGAAAGCTGCTTTTTCACCCACTTAAAATTCACGTTGAATTTGGACAAATGGAAAAGCCTATGATAAGGCAAAAAATAAATATGGAGTATATAAAACTCTCAGTCAAAAACTTTAGTCAGAATATTCAACTGTATTTTGTCAAACAGAAGAAAAACCTCTTACTTGCCAAAAACAAACTCAATGAGCAAACGTGAATATTACTAATGGATACTTATTTCTTACAAATTTTAAAGGTGTACAAGGTGCAGTGACAGAGATGTATATTGACCAACTATCTAAATGCATATAATCACTCGCTACTATTCACTATACAGAGTTGTGCATTTATTCTGTTTTATACACTCTATTTTATCAATACAATTGAATACAGCACCCTCAAGAGTAGATTTCATTGAAACTGTGCAGAAAAAGATCACAGTAAATCAGAAAATCCATCCTACAGTGAATAATGATGCACTTTGTTCAATAAAAAGTGATTTATGCTTTTGTAAGATGTACAGCAATACTCAGACAAATGCTCAACACTATGCACATCCTTATTATCATGAACAAAACAGGACAGATAGCGTTGACAAGTATTCCAATTATTTTTCAAATTTCTTATCTTTATGCTGTCAACCAAAAGTGACTAGATTGCATTTCTATGGGTCAGGTATCAGGTATATGAAACCAGAAGTATTCACGCAATTTCCTTGTCATGAAGTTATTGAATTCACCCTGGAATCTACAATGATCAGTATCTCATCATCATCATCATCTTCGTCAGCACTAACACTGTCTACTGATTTAAATTATTTCATCGGTTTGCCAAATCTCATTCGATTACGTCTGGTGAACAATCCACGCATAACTTGTTACACATCGGACATTTTTACTGGTGTAAATAATAACTTAGAGGAATTATATTTAACAGGTAATCCAGTGAAACAAATCAGTGTTATGGATTTTAATAAATTTACAACTTATGATAATCGTCTTGTCAGTTTAGATTTAAGTTATAATCAACTTGTCACCGTAGAAGCGAACTGTTTCGCTCGAAAATCAAAAGAAGGAGGGATGTATCATTTAAGAAAGTTGAATTTAGCTTATAATCAAATCTCAGTGATACACACCGATATGTTCTCTGGTCTTCCATACTTAGAGGAATTAAATTTAGCCGGTAATCCAATCAGATATATTGAAGAAGGTAGTTTCAGGAATTTAATGAGTCTTCGTAAACTTATCATCGAAGGTACTGTGAAATTGGCTAGAAATATAAACAATAACACATTTACACGCAATGTGTTCAAAGACTTAAAGGACTTACAAGATTTGACATTAGTCGGGTTACAAATGCGTATGCTAAGCACAAATGTATTCAGCGATTTATATCAACTAAGAAGATTGAATTTAGCGCAAAATCTACTAAGCAAAGTTCCAGTTATCCTTAAACACACTTATGTAAACGAAACAAATTCATCTCTTGATATACTGTCTACTGAATCAACATTAATGTTCCCGGTCGTAGTCAAAACTAAACTAACACATCTTAACTTGTCCCATAATCAGATAACTTGTTTGGAATCGAATGCCTTTCAGTATTTATACAAGCTTAAACATTTAGTATTGAATTTTAACCGGATAACAATTATAAGAAGATATGCATTTAAAGGTTTAAATTCATTACAAATACTAGAACTGCAAGGTAATCCATTAACTCTAATACAACCCTATGCATTCATACCTCTTAGACTGACTCTCGAAATATTGTTTCTCAATGACTCAGTGAATGAAGGAGACATAAGTACTGTAATATATTTTAATCGAACATCTCTGGCACTTCTACCATCAACAACACAAATATATGGCCTGAGAAAATGGAATATTTTTAGAGGAGGTAATCAAACTATTGACAAAATGATGAATAGTAACCAACAGTATACAAAATACATGGATCAGGACGTTGAATGTGAAGTAAGCGTTAAATTAATGCATGAAATATATCACAAGATTATCCAGCATGAAACAGTGCCTGTAACAAGTGAAAATAAAGGCACAGAAGGTAAAATGAAGAAATTATCGTATACCATGTATGGTGACTTTGATAATGACAAGATTCAAGCACATCAAAATACTGTCATCATACTATTCGGTTCTGGTATGAGCTTCTTAATCATTCTACTGATATTTATGATGCTCTACCGACTGTGCACATATCATTCAAAGCTAAAAGGCAAAAAGTATACCACAAAGCATCTAACCCTAATTGCGAATTCTTTTCGTTGTCAGGATGGTGACAGTTCAGATACAACGGCATCTGTAAACTTAGCAAATCTACAGAATAACGAAAATATAATTTATAATGCAGCTAAAAGTACTAGTATTACCAAAGGTGATAGTGAAGGTTATTATAACAAAGTTTCAGCACATCATCTACACAGACAGAGTCAGTTGTTTGAGCCAACAAATCATTCGTCAACTTCAGATCTGTTTACAATGGACTCAACCCAGAACATAATTTACAATAATTATCAATTAAATTATGACAAATGTATAACAAGTCCATTTCAGATTGTTAATACCACGATGAGTGCAATGAATCAGCATCCGATTCAAATCAGTTATCCCTTCCGACGGGAACAATACGATGGCATTATCATAAATTCAAACGCATCACCGCAAAAAACACTGACAAGTGATGACTCATACAATTTGAACAGTATACAGAGTGGTATAAAGGAAAATAAAAAATTGGGCAATTCATATCGATTAGAGAGTATATGTTCTGTCAAGATTAACAGTCAGAAGACAGAAACCACTTATCCTCAAACTGCATACAATAACTCAGTGTTACACAGACTAAATCAATCGAAAAGTGAAAATCTTTATGGGAATTCTGAGGACGATGAAGCTGTGAAACCATTTATTAAAGAACTAGGAATCATATAACAAAACAAATCATTTAATGTATGATGTAGTCAAAAATAAAACTTTAGCTGAATATTTCTTAAGGTTAGTTTTTTCCCCTATTTTTCCTTTTGATGATAAATAAAATATTAGAGAAGCTGAGAAAGATAAATAGATGCCTAGGAGGAGTGTTAACCTGTAAACTGCCATCTTCAGTCTTTCAGAATTATTAGAATATCCCTAGTGACTTCAGATGAAGGCTAAGTAAAATTGTCTTGTGGTTTTGCCACGTTTGGCTGGACATTGCTTAGTGCTTCAGGATTTTAGCATGTTTATTTCAGTTGTTTATAGTTAGTTTTCAAATAGAATTTTCATTTGAAAAGAAAAAGATTTTAGCGAAGACAATTCCTTTACTACGACTTGATGCTTACATCTGTACAATTAGCATTCTAATATAAACTAGGACGGGTCATTTACACACTGTATGATACTTGAATATTGGCAACAGAAGAAATTATAATGGTTATATGGACTAAATACATCATAAATATGTGTTAATGCATAGCTCACAAAACTTTTCTTTTTCTTTAATTTAGTTTCTTCTATTTCTGTTACAACATTTCTATCATAAAAGACAATGAATTGTTCATTCCTCTTGCATTTGACCCACCCACATTTATGCATTCAAACTTCTCATTTCTAAATATATTCTCAATCTATCAATCAAACAAAAGCCTATCCACTCATTTGTCTAGTTTAATATGCTTGACACTGAGTAGGTTATTGATATATCTCGTTTTAACTGATATTATTATTATTTCATTTTAACATTCTCATTCAATGTTACAACTACAGGCAAACAGATTTGCTAACCTCTAGCCTAGCCTAGCCTGTATCTATGATCACGACTGTGGAATTATGAAAATGAAATTGTAGCAAAAATAATTATCTTTGTTTTTATGTTTCTATGTTGACTATTAATTTTATATTTAAAAAAGAAAATAAAAGATGCACCATCTTAGAAGAAAACATTGTTCATTTGTTTACTTGACACTGGCAAACTTATGAGAACAACATGTCAGCTGTCGATATAGACTCATTTGTCCAGGCCTAGGTAACTGGTATAACAGCCGAATACTATTCTAAGTGTTAAAACTCTTTGTTGAAATTAGGATAGGTGTCAGTCGAAGTTGAAAGACAAATAATTGTTATTCATACATCAGACAGTAATTTGACCTTTTGTACTGGAGACAAGGACAGAAAATGACAGCTTCCAATTATAATGACAGTACGATTTAGACCACGGCAAGATTTGAAATATTAGTCTTACATGCATTAACAACACAGTAAAGTTCTATAACACCTTAGAACTTAATCTCATGAGTAATGAATGTATAAGAAAAGAACTTCATTCATTAGTGAAAAGTACAAGTTTACTCACTAGACATAAGTATAAGTATAGAAACTCTATCAACTCTATACAATTTTTGAAATACTGCACAATTACACAAGTTTTCACACCTCAGATTAACTTGTGAAGAAAAATGTTTCACAATACAATAAATGTAAAGGTATTAGATGGTTGGAGGCAATCGGCAGGAAGCCTTGGACCCAGGTTTCGCGCTAGTTGGCACTCTTCAGCAAGGCGTATCTGCAACCTTGAAGGAACTCACATCCCTTCTGAGATTCGAACCCGCGTCATCCAGTGAGTACTGCAGTCAGAGACGTTACCACTGAGCTATTCGGGCTCGCGATTGACTTCCTATAGGACTGTGGTCGATATTTTGATTTGACACTAGTAACTAGTGTGATGCGTCTAGTCCTCTCTTTGGTGCAGACTGAATTCTATCAGTCAGGTTGTAATGTGGCCACCATTCTAGGTAGCTCGCCATCACGGTGTACATTGTTTGTGATGATATTAGATGGTTGGAGGCAATCGGCAGGAAGCCTTGAACCTAGGTTTCGTGCTAGTTGGCACTCGTCAGAAATGTAAAGGTAATTTAAACTTAATACATTCTCAAAACGGAAGAAAAAGCTTTTGTCAAGTAGCTATTCATACATTATCATCACTCAAGTCACCTAGGACTGCATAACCACAACTGACTCTTGAGTAAAATCGAGTATAACAGGGAATCAGTCATGGGCTAAAAAGCGTAACATTAAAGTCTCCTTGAGGAGAGGTTGAAGTGGAAATGTGTTACTGAAACCCCGTATTCCAGTTAGAATCCAATGAATGTATGTATATACATAATATCTACAGAATATTCATAACCAAACTTCGTTAGCATTATCGTTACTCATTAATCTGATTTCTACTCAGAATCTGCAGCAGGAGACAAAATGGTTACATACACGCTAATCGGATATGTTTATTTTATACAATGTCCAGATTCTGTGGGGACATAAATAAGAAATATAGACCAATTCAGCTAGTAGACAGACAATGAGGCTATGAGAAAGTAGAGAAGTTACAATCCTGGATCCTGGTGTAGAAAACTTCAGAGAACAGCTTACCAACTTTAAAATGGAAGTATACAGCTCCAAAAAGGAAACGAGTTACGGAAATTGCGCATTCAAATCTATTCAGATATAAACGATATTCTGTCCCAGAAGATAATGCATGCGCTAAAATGAAGCTTACGGAAGCTTATACATTTCAGTTTTTTAAATATAAATGAATAAGCACAACTCACAGATCCAACTGTGAAGTAAAACTGGTATTTCCAAATATAACTTTCTTAGGAAATTGTACCATTAAGTAAAGAAATACTTAGTGTTAAATCTGTCTCCATTAGCTTCGTTTTTTAAAATTAAGGGAAATGCACCAAACTACAAAAAACACAAGTAGCCAGAACTTGACAGAATCAAGATGTCAAATAGGTTGACTAACAGTCTGTACGACTTAGGTTGCAGTAATAATGGTAATCTCTCAGTAGTACAAGTTACTCCTAATACTTCAGCTAGACTGTGTAATTATGTATACTACTTTAACTGATATCATAATTTTCTGGATGACTGATCACCTTTTCTGACTCTATGACTCTGATAAATTATGGCTGATTAACGTGGTAAACCCTTCATCGTATGTCTTTAAGGCGTCTGTGTAATATTATACAACAGTAGACGTTGACTGCCTTGCAGAGTGAATATTTCTTCAGTTAATTTACTCTTTCGTCAGAAAAACTGAATAAGTAATCATCACGAGACAACTTTTTCCACTGAGCTGTAACAGTGAAATTAAAATGAACAGAGAGTGATAATTGATAAAAAAGTACAGTTATTAGACGAATTTCACACAGAAACACCACTTCAAAATTAATTGCTTATTTCTACCGTTTATTTTGTAGCCGTATGTTATACGCTGGCAGTTATGCAGCAGTAATAATACTATTAGTTATGATATATTAAACTGTCTGAACATGTTTAATGATCAGTATTTTGTAAACAGTTTTGTTATAGTTACAGACACTTCATTACTGCTAACCTGTTATCTAGAGCAGGATGGATAACCGAACAACCAGAAGATTAGCTTGATTCTGGTAATGTATCAGAATCTAAACACTAGTCGCGTGCTACATGCGTTCAATGCTAGAACTTTCCGAACACTATCTAGTGCCCATTATGGGTAAATTTTTATTTTGATAGAGTCTCACAGTGTTATACAGTAATATTTACTGATGACGTTTCGAGCACAAACTATTGCTCATAATCATATCATCAGTAAATATTACTGTATAACACTGTGAGACTCTATCAAAATAAAAATTTACCCATAATGGAATTACACTCTACCACAGTGCCCAAGTTTTATTCTTATATCAACTATCTAGTGCCATCAATAAGTAAACGTAAACAGAATATCACAATTTTTTCTTAGAAATTCAAAAACCGTACATGATGAAATTGACGCAATGTGCCGACAACGAGAGTTGATAGTCGATAGGCTGTTAGTTTATTTAGCAGTAGCAATAAACTCCAAAATTGCTTTTTGATCGCGATTTGACACCAGTTAGAGAACCACTGGAAAACCTGGGAGTACTGGACAGCTGTTTCATACTTCTTTGGCGCTCTCCATCAGTACGCAGCCACCAGGATTCGAAACCACGACCTTCCGACCTCGTAGACCATACAGCCACTGGGACTCGACCCAATGGCCCATGAATTCCGACTTCTGCCAATCTGCGATATATAGCGCAACTGTCTTGTAACTGGGAGGTCTTGGGTTCGAATCCCGGTGGGTACGTACTTCTGAAACACCTGATAAATAGCTACTTAAAAAAGTTAGTTTTCACGGTTACTCCAGCTGGACAATCTCATCTCAAAAGGCGCTTAATTCAATCATACGCTATGTCGTACAGACTGTCATTAGTCAAAAACACAAAGATGAAAAAAATGTTTAAAGAATACTAACTGAATCAGAAGTGTTTATTTACAGAACAATGAAGAAAATACTGGAAATAAAAAATTTAAACTGTCTGGAGATATATATTTCTCATGTATTTAGTTTCAGTAGCTGTAGGAACTAATGAATCCCTAATCACTTGATAATTAGGCCAGTCTCTAGATATCAACGCACCATAACTATTGTGACTATAATACAATATAATTTCATTTATAATTTTAGTCAAAATGACCAAAATACTTAATGCGAAGCGTAAATACATGTGAATACACTGATGTAGATGTTGTTTTCTGCTTCAACCCACTAATATGAACAGTATGAATCAGACTGTATAATATACAAAATGCTATTTTGTCATTTAAACGGCAGATATTGTTTTGTATTGGAAATGATTCAACAGAAGATAAATGGGTAATAATAAAGGCTTCTTACTTAACTAAAATAAACAAAAATGAGTAAAAAGAACGAATATTCTAAATATTGGCAAAAACTTATACACTTTCTTAACTGCAACGATCGAATTCACAAAAACTGAAAGCAGTAATTATAGGCGAGAGAAAAAGAACATACTTTGAAGTGTTTGTGTTAAAGTTTCATTGAGCCGTAGGTACAGACTAAACACAGGATTACTAAATGACATATCTACAAAACAAATTTACAGTAGCAGTTTTCCTCTAGTTCTGTTAGTTTTTAAGCGATGTATGCGAGATTCAACTTGTCATCATAATTAACCATAGTAACATGATTACCAATATGCCGGTGAATATGAAATATATGAGATATCTTTCAACCACAGGATGAACGCGAATTAGCTATTTACTCATTTACCATGGTGAGTGAATGTAGATTAGTGATAGTACACCTGTTTACTTCACATTTAAAAATATATGATCATTTAGAGAAACGATGTATCCGATCACTGCAAACATGGTTACAAAGAATATTACCTATCATAGGCGATTCATGAAATGCATACTATGAGCACTATCACTTGTCCACAGTTAAAATCCCCTTCACAATCTTCTCAGTAACTCTATTGGATTGAAAGCATACTCTGTTTAAAATTTTCTTTTGATATACTCACCTTAAAGTTATTTATTTATTTTCTGATAGAATTTTGTGATAGCATGTTCTGTGGATCATCTATGAGACTTTGTTTATGCATTATCTCTTATTTTACAATCTGAACACTGGAGCCACTGCAAATATCTACCTGTATGTTAGCGCTCAAATCCATTGAGTAATTTTCATGATTCTTTGCTTCAAACAGAATTATTAATTGTTGAAAAAGTTTCGTTAATAGCTTGCAGGTACAGAAGTTGTTCAGTTTAATGAAGTCATTGAAGTGAAATACGATAAGCAAATGTTGTAAGCGTAATCTCCGAAAACGTGTAGCTGAACACTATCCAGTCTGGTTAATGAAAAGCGAACGTAGACCTGAGAAGTCGTCTATTTGTGATCACCTGTTAGAGTCAGGTCATTTAGCCCCATGTGATTCATCTTTCAAAGTTATCTACATGGCAAAATCGAATCGATCCAAAAGTTTACGTTTTCTTCACTTATGCATAGCCGAAGCTTTAGCTATACATGAACAGAAACCTAAATTATGTGTTCAAAAACCTTTTCTGTCAAACCCCTTTCTTTACCTTGGTCATAGTAATGTTCTTTCTAGTTTTTACTTTATTTTATTTTACCACTTGAATTCTTTCCACTTCACTTCACATCTTCATTCTTATCGTAATCGTACTCCTAATTTCTTAAAAATTTTAGACAACACTTGACATTTTTAAAACATTTTTGATTTCAATTCACTTATAAAACAATCTTTAATAATTTTGTAATTTATTCACTTCAACTCTACCCCTTATAACATTTTAATGGATGTAAGTAGTCTGAAATTATACACGTTAAGAACTACTGTTCAACTTGAAATTTAACTTTTCAAATATTTCTCTTTGAAGATAACTAACTGTATCATAAACATATGGATTAAACAATATTTCAAACTAATCACTTATTATTACACAATGTCAAAGTAAGCAAAACCTACCAGTAACAGGATCCGTATGAGTACATTCCACTTCAGCTTTGAAAACTGACGTATCATCTGATTCATTACATTTACCATTCAATTTTGGACGAGTATGCACAAAAGGAATACTTTCTATTGTAACCACCTGAATAAATTTTAAGTAAACTTTAAAATTTTACTTTTTCTATCATATAAATTTAATCTATTAATTATTTACTTATTCAATAACCACTACGTGAAGTCGAAGTATTGTGGTGGTGTAATGCAGACAATGTGTGCCAACGGAATATTATTCTCACATATTCCCACAGCTCAATACGGCATTAGCAACAGAATGCTAAATGTATTTGAGCTTTCTAAATGACATACTCAGTGACTGGTTAAAGAATAAAAAGCTGCATATATGTAAAAAGCGGCTTGATCACTTGAACATATACCTTGGCTTCCAAGTTTTACCTTCTACTGTTACAGTATATCTTTCAAATCAGATCACTGAGTGACATCATTTAAGGAACTATTAAAAACCAGTGAGTACTAGACAGATGTCTTGTCCTCGTGTGGGACTCTTCAGCAGCACTCATCCTTTACGTCACCATAGATTGAACAGAGGGATATCAGACTATGAGAATACCACGTTAACCATTCAGTAGCTGGTGCGCACCCCCATAGCCCATGAATTCCAACTTCTATTAATTCTCTAACTAGTGTGAGTTCATGGGGAAAACTGAAACCAGCAGAACCCGTGCCCATGAATACTTAAAATAAATCTTTTCGTCAACTAAAGACTAAGATCTCGAACCCTCTAATGAAGTCTAACCAAGCTGAAATGAAAAGTCAGTTTTGGCAGGATCCGAACCAGTGAACTCCTCTTTCTAATTAAATCGGCAGCCAACAAGATCACTATGAGTCTGTCAAATGAAGGTTGCACCATATTATTTATTGTCATCTGGCTAAATAAATTTATTCATACATACAACATAATATAAAAATTTTTGTGACAGCCATGGCTGCTAACACTTTCTAGAAAATTGCAATTGGGCATTATTTTCTTTAATGGAATTATGCCTAAATCTCTCTAATCTGAAGATTTTGATAAATTTTACTACGCAATAGATGTTGGGTTTCTTGAACCATAGAAAACACTTGAAGAAGATTGAACAATATTTACTAAATATTTACTTAATCGTAAGGCTAGGGTATATTCTCCAGGGAAACGCAAAATAGTTACTTCCCTTCATAAACTTGGAAAGATACCGAGGTAACACAGTTTGCCTTGGGAATGAACTAGATCGACACATATAGTTTCAAAAACCATCTGACTGTCGAAATCAAAACCACTAGATGTCAGTATGTTAGCTTACGAGTAAAAATAGCATTTAAGACATCGGAAAACTTCAAACAAAAAGAAAACTATTGAACATTTTGCAATATAGTCATAACTCTTTCTGTGCAAAATCCACATGGACGAAGCAGTCCTCCTTTAATCACAACAATTTCTGTCCATTTAAGTATGAAAGAGTACCAGCTAGGTAATTACTCGATCGCACAGTACTACACAGACAGGAATCGCAGATTTCTCTAAAGTTCATCTATTTGTTTTCAAAATTAAATCCAGTCAAACTTGTTATGATCAATACTACCACCATTTTTGTTGCCTGTTCTTCCAGATCCTTTTGAAGTTGCAATGTACACAATGTGTCAAATCGTATACCCCTGATAGAGAAAAAAACACCGGGCCAAACAAAACAACCTATGCAATTCCTGGTCACTATAGGTGGGGAATAACCTAGACACCACTTTATAATAGATACTTCATTATGCGATTGTACTATATTTCTTGTTTAACTAATGGATCAATGAATAACTCCTTGAATAAATTAATTTTGAGAACAAACCTACTTTTAGATGTGTTTTCTTTTTGAAACTTATTGGTGCAGCGTGTACAAGTCGTTTTTCTGTTTTGCGACACTGTCCATCACTATTTCTTTGAATACAAACCAACTGTCGACGTTTAACAACACTGTTACCCGGCCATATTAATTTACTGAGATTAATTGATAATAATGAAGGGTATGGTTCATCAGAAGTCCACTCCATAGGTGTTGGCTAAGTGAGAGAATTTTCAGGATGAAGAAGTGCAGAAAATATAACTTTTTCAATTTACAGTTGATTTGAAAAAGGATTAACAGAAAAAAGACAAATTATTTTCCTGATAAAAGACTAATTTGATGCTTCCTGTCAAAAGAAACAATGCACCAGGATAATTGAGGAAGTAATCTGGATGGTACCGGTTTCACACATTAAGCACTACATCAGTGTGTCTGAAAAACTTAAATCAGCTTGGATAGTCTTACCAATGAAGTGTCTTGTGAAAAGGTGGAAGCTTTTGAAACCTTTCGAAAATAGTCAACAACCTCGGATGGTTTGGAAAGCGTCTGATAATCTGATGAGTAAACAGCACCCCAACTAGTACTAAGAAATCTAAAAGACATTTGCACACTGAAGCTTCAGAAAAAAACCCGAAGTTAGAGCGTATATACATAAATTCAACCAAACAGACTACTTAGTTTACTGCTTTGACTGTTTTCGGTGGTTCAAAAGCCATTTGAAATGGAGTTGGAGGATTATTTTTCGGGCTATGAACATCATAACTGTGGCGACCATAAATATTCTAATAGTAATTAATTTGTTGTTGTTTTTCCTTGACGCTCCCCAGTGGAACATAGGGCTTCAAGCTAGTAGCTTGAAGTTTCTGTAGCGGTGTTTATTATTTTACAGGATGGGGTTGGTAGCCTCATGCCCAACCTTTCCTCTTCACCAGCATTATTTTTGGCTTAGCAAGGTAAAGAAGTGCTTCGGCTGGGGATCAAATCCCGGACCATGAGCATGGTCAGCGAGCATCCTAACCGCTATGCCACCGACGCACCTGTGAATGTTACTGTGATAGATTACGGTTTATAAAATCCAGATTACTAAATATCAGTTTGTAGCTTAGATGACAACCAGGACCATCCGGTTTCGTAGTCAACTCGTGGCTATTCAGCCGCATAGACAGTTTGACGCGACTGTCATCCAATATGGTTGGATAGCATTTATCTTATCTGTAAGTATGTCAGCAGGCAAAATAAGAATGTTGGGATAAATTAAATTAATTTATTCAGCTTTTACTATTCAAGTCATTAACTGTTAGCAGGCTGAAGAATCTAGCCAATCGCTAAACAGACATTCTTACACTTATCACACCTAAGATTGCGGATTCATGGACCGACGCTAAGCTTTGAACATGACTAGTTCAACAATATCGGAATACACGGAGTACAGATAAGAAAATGATAAATATTCATTAGAAATACAAATTATTCCCATTACATCAAGAAACAAGAATTAAAAGTATAGCTCAAGGAATTCTTTCATTTGGTCGAAAGGCATATCATTTAAAAAAATATCTGCAACGACAAAAAATTGAATAAGATGTATTTGCTTCTCAACAAATGAAAAATATGTAGATACACTCGTCCATCCTTCATCACTTTTCACGTGTTTATTTTTATACTACTTATCACCAGTAAGTAGCATAAGGCTTTTCACTGTTTCGCGTTATTAGTCGAATTCAACTTTGACTTTACATTCATTCTATTTGGTCAGGGGTGATTATCTTCCTATGGTCAGACGGTGTTTATCGTACGTTTTTTCCTTAGTTTCCATTCTTTCTTAGCCATTATTTGTACAGACCTCCTTATTGCTGATATATACGTTTGCTCAGACCGAGTATTGTTTTTGACACAGTTCCGGTGTTTTTCGTATAAATCCACTATGGCAGTATTTTTGATTACATCCAACCTAAGTACCTCACAATTTGAGGCTTGTATATGCTATTTATTATTTTCGTATGTGATATACTAAAGTATTCTAGACAAATCCTGTGTTTTAACTTTTATACCCAACTCAAACATTTGGAATAATTAGTAGATTGTAAATTATTGGTGCAGGTTATTTGAAAAAAATCTACACTCATCTTGTTGGCTAAACTAATCGAGAAGTTCATTTTTCTATGGTAACTTCCCACTTACTTTTTTGAATTGTTAGTGAAAATATAAGCGAGTATACACACTTTAGACGACAACAACAACAACCACAACGATTGAGTAACTTCCACGCAAATACATCCGAATTACCTGACGTAAACCGTAACTACCAACGGACACTAGCGTGGGTCTTTCAAATTCAAAAGATTTCTGCGAAGATGAATCACTGACTTCGTGGTTGGTCAGTTGGGCATTCACTACATCATAAATTGGATTGATTCGGTCACCATACTCATCGAATTCCAAGCGCCCAGTTCTACCATCAGTTAGATTCATTGAAATCATTTCTCTTAATTTGGAAATTTGGGAAGAATACCGATTGTTTAACATAGATATTTGTGCATACAAAACAATAAAACTAATAAGACATATTAAACGGTTGGGTTAGCGCGGAGCTGTTCTAACGCGAAGACTTACGAATAATGCGTTATTTGATCAAATAAGAAATTCTCATTAGGCTATACATTTACTTAACAGAATATTAGTCACAGGCATTTGAATTAATGCGGTTAAGAGAATATAGGACCAGAGTTCAGGGATGAGAATTAATGGATAACAATCGGGATGATCATAATAGTAATAATAATAATAACACAGATAAATTCACCCAAGTGTTTAAATAATCTAGGCAACTGTGTGTAGTTAGAATGTGCATACTAATGGGGGTAGAGAGGAAAATAAATAGTGTCACATAGCGATTAGATAACTGGTTGCTAACTAGTATTCAGCTTTTAATTCATATTATAATTCCACCACAGACCTTAAAAGTTAACTGAACCATTAAAAAGCATTTTTCACGCAAAGATGCCCACAAACATGAAACGTAGATATATTATAGTGTGATTTCATCGAGCTAAGTGAACTGAATTCAAATTTCACTCTTCAACCTCGACCAACCACTGTTTCACTGACCATGTAGATGTATGCCTCTGTAATTGGTGACTTCCAGTCCACTAACCCTACAATTAGAATATTGAATATTAATCTGTAGGCATAGATACTTTATGTTTTAAAATGTGGTGATACTTCATTTTTCAAGGGTTGTTAAATTAAATTAAATAATATGTAACAATTAAAGTGAGATCTCGAAGCCACTTAGTTACACCGAAAATAAGCGATGTCACCTCAAAGACACTAATAAAGCAGTGAATGAGTTGCATAATGGTTAAAGATCTAATTTTATACTTAGATCTTCTGTTGACACAGTACTGGTTGATAATTGCTGCATTTCTGAAATAGCTGTGACTGCGATTAGCTTGACAGAGTGATACAGCTACAACGGGACTAAACTGAAGCAAACTTTTTTCCGAATGAAGAGAGAAGACTCAGGATTACTGGCTGATTAGATGAAATTTGATGTGATAATGGTGAATACTTAAGTCTCGCTGACTTATTGGTCAAGAGATCTGCACTGCTTCGCTCCAGAAGGATGACACTATAGGGCAGCAGAATAAAATGAATGTGACCACAGCTAACATGCTGTGCTCAAGAATACACAACAATAGTGAGGATTTAATGATTATTTCTCATTCCAAGCTCGTGATAGAGTCAATCAATATTCATTGTGCTAAAACAGGAAATAAAGTTTGAAAATATCTAACAATGTACAAAGAAACCATCACAGATTGCCTTATGTGTTACTAAGCATCCAGACGTTATAATACATTGTTCTCTGTTTCACATCTTATGAAAGAATGGAAAAAGCACTTGATTAAATTGTTTTTACCATGAGAACAAACTTACCGAAACAATTTAGAAGCGTAGTCTTTCCAACTATATGCTAGTCTACCATATCCCCTTGATTTTGACTGGATTTCTGAAGGGATATCACTGCACGTTTTAACTGAATCCAAGTGTTTCATAGCGTCATAGTCAGCACGTACCAAGTGTAAAATACTTTGTGTAACAATTCGAACTGCATCAGCAACATGATCAAGTTCACTTGCTTGAAGTAGTCGAACACCGATAACACCTTATTCGAAGTAGAAATAATGGTAATGATAGGATGATAAGCGTTTAATTATTGCTTAGAATACACCGGTGAATGATTTAATATTAGTGGTATTAACGTTATCAGGTCAGTAAATACAGTTATTATTTCATTTAATAAGAATTTCACAAACACATTCTGGCTATTTAAAAAATTAATAGTAGTATAAAATTATTAAAAAATATTTCAGCTAGGTAGAATCAGCATTTTCGACTGCAGACAAAAACCAAAGCATTTCCAAACATTACATTATAATACTGTGTGTAAGACTTTATTCGTGAAAGCGGTGTCTACTCACAGTTCCCACAGTGATCTGGCTGTCTCACTTCCGTCTACGTTCCAAACTTAATAGCTTTTCTACAGGATTTTCATCATGAGATGGCATTAGTTAGAGAACCATTGGAAAACCTAAGAATACTGGACAGCTGTCTCGTCCTAGTTTGGGACTCTTCATCAGTACGCACACACCGGGATTCGAACCCAGAACCTTCTGGTTACAAGGCGAGCTCGTATATCATTAAGCCACTGGGACCCGATCCAATGGCCCATGAATTCTAACTTCTGCCAATTCACGACATATCGCGACCCCTAGCCAATGCCTTCGGCGAGCATTTGTCCTCACACCCGACCTGCTGCACCCTGCTGGTCACGACTTCTCAATAGAACCCCAGGTAACTACCTACCTGAATAGGGAAACTCGCTAGTGAGCATCTCATTGATATTCAAGTTAGAATTCATGGGCCATTGGATCGGGTCCCAGTAGCTTAGTGGTATACCAGTTCGAATCCCGGTGATGAAGAGTCCCCAAACTAGGACGAAATAGCTCCCAGTTCTCTAACTAATGACAGCTCATGATGAAATCCTGTAACCAATCAAATCCCTACAAAGAAACACTTGAAATTAATAGCTTTTTTTTCGGACATCAGCCGGTGGTCTAAGGCATACGGCCTTATGTTAAATCGCTTTAAATGTCGGACTATTAGCTTCACCTTCAGGCACACACGTGATCTGCACGAACCGGTCTCTTCAAGAGATGTTTTCAGCGCAAAGTGCACTGAAATAGAAACTCTATCAAGCATAAAATGTTGTGGGATATTTCTGTCCTCTGATCTTTCATGGTCATCCACATCATGTCGATTTCTAAAATGTTCAGTCTAATCTTCTACGTTGAAAAGTTAGGACATTCAAGTGTCGCTCAAACTCTGCCCTTTCAGTTTGTTAACTCTTGCATCTTACCTTATGTTCTTTACTGCTCCCCCCCTTAGTCTGTCCTGGAATACTCAAAAAGGACTGTGTCATGTTGCGAAGGGTATTAAAGGTTGTTGGAAGGGCAAGTAGTGTGCCACTAAGACAGCCCGTCACTATAGTGATAGACAGACACCTAAATTAAAAGTAGTCTAAATCTACACCATCTGACTCTAAAAACTCTCTGTTTTCACAACTCTCCTCTCCTTGCATCTCATCATATCATTTAGGGACTATTAGAAAACCAGAGATTACCGGCTTTCCACGGGTTCTCCAACTGATGTCACTTCGTGATCAAACCTATAACATATCATATCCGTGCAAACCAACACTTGATAAATGAAAATAGCGTCCATTCTTATATTCCAAACTTTAAATTAGATGCGTTAAATAAAATGCTCCACCATTTCAGTCCAAATTCCCATGTAATTTTACTAGTCAAGGATAACTTCTAAATCCTGATAATTCAGCAAAGAAAATGAGACATGTGTTTTCCTATAAACCATCAACTAATTTCACCGATAGTATCACATCGCACTGTGTTTACCATTTTACATGTAGTTGTGGTCAGTCCCGCATAGGAATGACCAACTGACCTCTGCAGCTCAAGGATATACAACACAATCTTAACTGACTTCAAGAACAAATGAAATCATCTATTTCCATTGACTCTGGAAATATAAGCCCAGAATCACTTGAAATGAAATATATGACGAAGCATTTTTACAGTTTCTTCGGTACGTATAACACAGTTAATTACCATTACACATTATATCATTGCAAACAGTGCATACGTTGGAGGCATTTATACATTTCATCCACAAAGTCAAAAACAACAAAAAGTTTTACAAAATTTTATCATCAACTTACCATTAGGTATATTAGAAGCATCCAACGCCTGTTCAGTAACTATCCAAGCCCATTCTGCATCTAGCATTCCAAGTTTACGTGCAGCTAAAAACACATACTCTGCAAACTTCCGACGTAAAAATAGCAGAATGACGCGTGTCTGTTCATTTCTTACAGGTTGTAAGAGACTGATAAAATCTTTCATTTGAGCAGCATCTTCTTCGTCTGTGTTGATAGGAACTTGCCGTGTAATCTGTAATATTGGGTTTTTTTAAGACTATGGTAGTACTTATATACTGGAAAAGTGCTTAAGATAAATAATAACCAAATTTCAGGGGTTCGAAAATAACTCTGCAAGCATAAGAAAGTCCATGATTTATCAGGACTCCATATTAGTTTGTTTATTAGATATATCACACAGTGAAACAGTATTACTAAGTGGATGACGTTTTGAAAACAATTCATTGTTCATAATCATATCAATTATCAGGATCCTATACACTAGTAAGCTAAGTGTAGGTTAGCCACTTAGCAATGTAGTGAATCAGTCGATATGTTGTAACATTCTAATTAATACATTTCATATTGATGAGATTCAGCCAGCTTAGCATTTAGTTAATCAACAAGCACTGTTATAAAAAGATTTGTTTACTGTATTCCTAATAACTGTAATTCCACCCTAAGAGTTAATCTTCTATGTACAGCAGAAGCCATTGTAATCCACCTGAAGAAACCGAAGTCGTGTGTTCAAATAAAAATTGTACAGCCACTTCCTTTACCTCAGCCATCTTCACATAAATGTGAAAATTGTCCTCTGTCTCTGCCTTCTATACAGGTTTCGAGTTATTATTATTACTGTCATTTTAACTGTCTTAATAACCTGTCTACTTCACCTATAATTGTTTTTATGTAACTGATTTTAATAATTTAGTTACTCACTTACTCTTGTTTTTAGATATTATCTGTTCTGTTTCACAAATAACTCTGACCACTTCTCCGTTATAAGCAATATTGCCATTTTGACTGATGTTCGATTACTCTATCTAAATCTTTTGAATGTATTCATATATTTGAAAAAATGACCTGGAACATCATCGTGTCAAGAGATGAGCCAAAAAGTAATAATAGTAAAATCGCAATTTGAGGAATAGAGAAATAATATAACCGGAGCAAACTAGTATAAAAGCAGATAAGCGTAGTTATCAAGAGCATTTAAAAGAGCTTCCTTTATTTCCAAATGATTTCAGACCGAAGAGAAAAACGGAAATCTCTACATCTGAGACATATCAGATAATGTTCTGACTTCTTGGGCCCCACCCAACCAATGGTTACTGACCTAACACAACTACACTTCACCCCACAAAGCCACATCATGGGCTGACCTCTTCTCCGCTTTTTCCATCCTGTTACAGAGTCAGTAAAAAAATAAAGAGTATGAAAGCCACTGAGGGGACATTTGTAACATGCGCAAGTCGGTGTCTCAAGATTAAACTAATTATCGAAGGACGATTTCCGATATATCAAAACTCATCTGTTAGGTCTCAGAGTTCCTTACACAACAAAAACACTGTTTGCAGGCAGTTCTACAGAGATAGTGATCAAACATTTGGAATCACTGCACATCATCAGTTTTGAGAAGCAAGGAGAAGATCGGGACTGTACACATCGGAACTTTATAAATCTTACCTTTAAAGGACAGACTGTCACGACAACTCCAGAGATGGCCTGTGTCAACACATGCTGTCATCGTAAGGTAGGGTTTATCACAGCGAATACTGACGCTGTGGGCCAGCCAAATTACTTTTCAAAGTGCTCATCATTCTAAGAGTCTTAAAGTTTTTTGTTCGGCGTGCCGCCAGCCTTGCAGGCTGATACTACACAATATACTTCTTGTTTCCAGTGGCCTGGATGAGCCAGAATAGCTGCTGGCTGTTGCAAGAAGCAGCTATCGATTACATCCCACACTAATGTTCTTTCGATGGGGCTGCTCTATCCTTACTCAAGCACTGTTTAATTTTAGGCATACAAGCTTTTCACGAATTAAACTCGCCATAACTGGACCGTAAGCGTCAGGAATTAATAAAATACTTGCGGAAATTCAGTGGTTTTCTGATGAGGCATTCTTCTAGCAGCCATTCTCCGCCTCTGCTCTCTGAAGAGCTAACAGATGGTCTTGAGTTTAACTCAGTTTGATATTTGTTCTCAGTAGCAGGCTCAATTAAATTTACCTGTTACAGAATTTCATCATGAGCTGACATGGTTTAGAGAACGACTGGAAAACTTGTAACTAATCAATCAAATCCCTACAGACCAATACTTAACTTTACTTGCATCAACCTGTTTGAGACAATGTTCCCGGTCACCACAAAACAGAAAGAAAAAAACTTGCACGGACTAAAGCATGATCGTAATTCAGGCAGCTGTTCCAGATGGAGGAACAATCCTATATGCATCCACCACATTGGTGGCCAATAACAGTGTGATCTGTTTGAGTACAGATTCGGGTGTCAGAGGGATAACACTACGTTGCACTAAGTCAGTGACTGTGCTGCGTTGGTTAGTAACTTAATGATCAGTGATTCTTTATTGTTATCGCCTTCGCCTAATCATAATTTTGATGATGTTTGATAATTTGGAAATGGATCTGTTGGTGTTGGCAAGTACATAAATAATAGTTTCTTGGTAATATCTGTGAATATCTTCCATAAAATGCTCTAAATATTAGTTGATTTGGCTGGCTGTCTAAACATAAGGCAGTCTTAAGATCCACAGAAAAGCCTGTTGTCAACAATTTTACGTAAATTATGACTGAAAGATTTAGGCGGTGACTAAATGAGGACGAAATGTATGGGTGGTTGTAATCTCCTGCAATACCATAATGATCTGGATACCCCCAGTGAGATTGGAACTGATTTAACGGTTGCAAGTTCTTCTGTTGAAATTCATGTTATGAGGGCCTATTTCAGCTGTTTTTGTCATAAGGTTTTGTATGAGGAAAGAGGAGGCTGAGCTATGACTTCTTCAGTTTACGAAACACACAACAATCAGAGATGAACTGAAATTTATGCTGAATAGAAACTAGTAGATTGAATGTCCGGAAGATAAAATTGTTCCAGTGTGAGAGATATCCCAGAACCTAACTGATGTGAATGTAAAGTCATTTCACTTCCTACAGTTAAACGTCGAAAATGCCACTTCTGCCACCTACCATACTTTTACCTTACAGAAAGCTAAAGCTAGCAATTCACAAATTCTCGATAATTATTCATACATGTCGTAGTTTTAGTCCGGACTCTGAGTCCTGTTAGAAATCAAGTAAGAACAGTATTCAACTCTTTTATGATGAAATTCATCAATTGTTGAAAACAGTACCTCTTCCATGATATATTTTGGAAAGTGATCTCGCTACTCTGCTAACGCCTACAATGTAACTGACTTATTGTGTGGAGGATTGATATAAAAACTAGTATTTCTGCAACCTCATCAGAAGGCCAGATCATAGGCCCGGGTTCCCATGTGAAGACTCAATGGTGTGTTCGGGAGAATATGTAATACCAAACCTCCAAATCCTAAGTTCCACGGACTGTCCCAAATGGATGGAAATATTGACATTTGTAAGGAGGAATTCAAAGACTACATAGTTGAAACTATAAGTTATGAAGATGTTTTCCCCCGTCAGGGCCCTGAAGTCTAGAAAATTCTACAATATAGCTATAAATCAGTCCATGATAGCAGTCTACCAGTTATGAACGATATTCGAGATGCACTTGGGGCAAGCTGCAGTGGATGGGACGTAGACGCCAGTCTTCCATCTGTAGCTGAGATTACTAAGGCTGTCTCTTGTCTGAAAGGAGGCAAAGTGATAGAACCTGATGGAATGACTCCAGAGGTGTGATTAGGAACGATAAAGATGAATTCCTGCCTGGGCTAAGTAAGGCGTAAGGTAACGTTTAGGAATCAGAAACAGTCCTGTTGGACTGGTGAAATTCATTGATTAGCCCTGTAAACAGGAAGAGTGACAAGTTTTCTTGTGATAACCATACTTGGACTAGCTTAACAAATATGATATCTAAAGTTCTAGGCTCATAAACACTCGTAGATTAAATGGTGCTCGCGAGAAACAAACGCGTGAAAACCATGCAGGATTCAGACAAATTAGATCGTGTATTGATCATATCTTCACTCTTAGACAGATTATGGAACATAGGAATATTTACTGGCTTTTAGTATTTACCAAATTTCTTAATCTGAAGATAGAATTTGATTCCGTCGACTAAGAGATACTATGGCAATGTTTGGCGGGTAAGGGTGTGCCGAGTAAGTAAGCAGTACTAATCAAGGCACTCTACTCACACTGATAAAGCCCTGTAAGAGCTTACGGAGAGTTGTGATATGGAGTAATTACAAAGAGTGGTATCTATCAGGGATACCGACTGTCTCCATTTCTCTTTAATTTCATCATAAATGTACTAATGGACTTGATCATAACTGATTTTAGTGACTTACGGATTGAACTGCAAACATGTAATCATCTTGTTGACTTAGAATATGAGGATGATGCGGTTCTGTTAGGTGAAGACACTGATAAAACGCCGTCTACTGAACACCTTGAGCAGAAATCTCTGAATGCTTGTTATACTGTTCACTCCTCTCATATGTAAAATGATGCTACAGGCCTGGGATACACCTACTCCAAGCCTAAAAACAGTGTGTAAAGTGATTGATTATGTTGAGCAATATTGAGGTTAGGTGTGGAGAGTTAGATTAAGATAGAAAACCAATTGATGCGGTTGTCAAGCTACGTCGATTCATATGGTTAAGACATGTTTTACGCATGCCTAGCGATCACCTATCTCGACGGATAATGTTATCTGAGAAAGGATTGGGTTGGGAAAGAGCTAGTAATGGAATCAGTTTACCTGATCTGTAACAGTTAGTTAGGTAGGTGTATACGACGTAGTTGGGGAAGTTGGGATGCTAATAATCAATGGCTTGAGACAATCGGGGATTCAGCTCAGTGCCGCAGATGCTTTCAACCTCTGTGACCTGCCATCTTCAGTAAAACTCAGTTGTTTTTCCGTGTAATTATTCATTACTACCCAGGCTTTCTGCTTATTATCTTTCCTTTGAATCCCTTTTGTCTTTTTAGCCTTTCTCTGCATGCTATATGGAGTGTGACAACTCGATCTGCCACATTTCTGTTCAAAGCTCCACGATAAACTAGTCAGTGAATAACGGGCCATGTATAAGAAGTGTCTTCGTGAGTAATCCTTAAGAATTAGACTAAATAATCAGTTAACAAGCTGGCAAATACCAAACTGGCTTCTCACTTAAATAAAAGGGATCTAGACAATGAAGAGATAATGTGATAATACTTTTTAGGGACTTTACACAAAAATTTATATTGCATATCGCAATATATCTAGTCTCAACGTGAAAAACAAAATATTTTCGATGTAGAGCAAGATGTTTTACCTAGATCACTAAGTAAACTAGATACAGAGCAATCAGTGGCACACAATGATGTTGACAGATGGCCTCCACTTATACTACTGTATTCAGACCATCCCTGAAACAAGCAATGCTACTGAGTCGACTAAAGGCAGTAAATACTCTCATTCACAGCAGAATAATAATGTCGAAAAATCACACATTCCAAAAGGAATTATTGAATAAGCTATAATTGCCCACCTGAAAAACAACAACTTATTATTCTAATGCATGATATATATATATATATAAATAACAAGAAATCCACCAACCTAATCTCTATACGTTTTAGTGAAACACTCGATTCTCTATACAGATAACTGATCAGGTCCAAATTACAGAACTGCACTCGATAAATCTGAAATGTAAATCTGAATGTGCCTTCTGATTGGCCAGTTTTTATCCTCTGGCCACTGTTCTGTATTCCAAGTTTTAAATACAGTTGAAAGATCCTTAACTATCATACTTGTCATTGATCTTATCTACTTTCTTTTTCCTGCCGTTCTTAATGGTAGGTGGGAAACAGATTCGTAAACAGTTGAATGTAATAGTTTCTATGGGTTATTTTTCTTAAAAAGGTGTGCCAACTCTATGAAATCACTGAATAGTAAGAAAGTTTCAGTCATAAAATAAATTTATCGGCCTGAAAATGGCAGACAAATGAATAATCTTAGAAATCATCACTGGCTAGACACAGTATATTCATGCAGAAACTGACGTACCTTAAATTCCATCCCCCTTTGAGAGGCCGACTCCAGGTAAGAAAGGACTCTCTTCGCATCATGATCATCAGAGTGAATAACACAGACTTCACGCCAACCAAAAGCTTTGATAAGATCTACCCAAATAGCTGCCTCACTACTAAACGGTGGGACAGTGCGAAGAAAGCTCCCATGGCTATACTTGTCACTGAAAATCGAATGTCTTGCGCTAACGCCAACAACTGGCAGGTGATAAAAGGCACATGTAAATGATACTGATAGAGGTGGAGATCCAGGTGCACCATTTGGATGAGAAATAATCAGTGCAAACATTCTACCTCTTGATGAGTTGAATAGATCACACACCTGATTCGTGGCTTTGAGTGCGTTGAGAGCGAGGATCTGAAATGTATTTGATTATATATTTCATTATACCTCTCCAGCTGCTTTAAAATTAATGACGTCGTCGAAGACACTATCTCTGATCGATGTGACCATTTTCTCAAAACCATTTAAGGCATTCTGACTGCTTAACAAAGCTCCTATTGTAAACTCTAGACACTGTGACTCAGTAGCAAAGCCAAGCACGACCAAAATACATAAAGCTTTAATCATAACCAATGTCTACTTTCAAAATGATGTCTTGAAGAAGTACAGTCTAACTGATACAGTAAAACAAACAAAAGTACATTTTATCATTTAGATGTTTATCAACATTATTCACTTTTTTTCTTCAAAAAACATTTGAATATAACCATAGTGCATACTACACGAAGTTGTATCTTCCGATTGATTTGCTAATTTGTTTCATGTGGACATTTTAGGCGATAGCATGTGTGATTCTCATAATTATATTATTTGCAGATTACTCGTGGGTAAGCCAGTGAACAAATAGTTTATTTAAGTCACTGGTATATCTGTAAAGCTCATTTGCAATGAGGAAATCATTTCGCTATTTAACATTCATTATCATCTGGTTGTTGTGGATGCTGACAGCGGAATATGGCTTATTATTGAAAAAAAAACTGCACGGAAAGTAACACTATTTAAGTCTATATATAGCCTCTGGAAGTCCGGAATACTGTATGTTAATGCGTCTCAACTTAACTATTCAGATACTGAAAGGAATTAACGACACCTGTTGTTGCTGTTGTTGTTGAACACATAATCTTTTGTAGCTTCATGACTAAAAGAATATCTACCAACCAAGGGATACGCATTTTATGCGGCTTTAGTGTGTATTAAGCCGTTGAAAAGGACACTACTCAATACTTACCTATGTTTCCGACAGGAAATCAAAATAATAATTAGTAGCAACTCTCCCATGTGAAATAGCAATACTGCCGAACCAACGAATGAAAACACGACAGACCTATTTCACATAAGCGAAACTATCCCTAAGGTAAATCGGAAAAATTCAACCAAAGAAGCACGTGGGCTGTAAGCAGATCCAATGACATTTCCCAACCCTACTCAGTATTCATTTGTGACTTCGTCCAGAATTAGGTGCAATCCCCAACCCACCTACATTCCGAAAAGATGACGAGTGGTACATGAATGAAGCATTAATTCCGATGGTGTCAAACGTATATCAAACCACATTTGCCAATCACATATGAAAACACTATTTGAAAAACTCATTCCACGAAATAAAATTTGGCTCGAGAATAGGTAGCGAACATGTCATAAATTGTTGGGATTTCCGGTGTACTGACAATGGCACTTGTGAGGGAGCTATTAGGAATATGGAAGGTTCATGCAAGCTGCAGACAGATTCAAGAACATAGGAAGACCTGACGAGATCTAACAGAATGTCTTTCAGCCTCGCGGAGTGTGAAACTCAAGAACTTCGCACTCCACTAGCACACAGAGCTTTGCCCTTTCTTGAGAACCTGAAGTGCGGCCTAAGTTTCACTCCAATCCAGAGCCTTAATACAAGCACGAAGTGAGCATGACATATGCTTTGCGACACTTTTTACACAGGCAGTAGGGCATACTCACTACAGAATTCTCCTTAAGTCTTTATGGAACGTAGGAGCAAAACTTACTGAAGATCCATGATATCATCGCGCGAAATTCCATGCCCACACTTCACGCAGTATTTGTTCCTCGTAGACCAAAGTAAAATCAAAACACAAGATTGAACGCCCAAAATACGAAGTATTTTTTAAGACAAAAATCGTAGTATAAAGAAGATTGCTTAAATATCTATGGACCGGTCACGAACAACTGAACGTAGCAAGACAACGAGGATGCTTGACCACAAGCCTTCGGCTTAACAAGACGACTTAAACAGTAAGGATCAGCCTCCAGTGTCGGGTGATGGATGCCGCTTGCAAACAATTTCGGGGGATCATCTACCGCTACGAGTTCAAAGAACTATTACCAGCAGAAATGTACATGAAAAACCATTGCAACATGGAAAAACATTTTTTTATTATGGCTTGATTTAGCACCGTATTTCGGTACAAGTATGGAATTTTCATCATGTGGTATGGGTAACCAAAATTTTGCAGTCCGACCATTGACAAAGTATCGAACTCCGGACCATGTTCATGGCCGGCGAGAGTCCTGACCGCTGTGCCACCGACGCACATGTTGGCATGATGGATCTGGGAGATTAAAACACTATCTGTGTCTGTGCCATCGACAACAATTTTGATTCATATAACCACTGATCCTGAATATCCTGAGTATTCCAACTAGGTTACCTGTATCTGTCGATGTGGATAGCTCAAACTAACTGCCAAAGACTTCAAAGAAATTATGCCATCTTTTGATCTGACCAACCCTAACTCCTTCACCAACGAATACTAAGTCAGCTGATAATGCCCGTCAAAAGAGGCATGCGTCTCACGAGTTGAAGTCATCATCCCAATCTCACAGCTCCATTGACTCACGTCTGCTCCTTTCCTAACCTCAATATTGCTCACTGTACAATATCACTTAACACACATCTGTTTTCAAGACAAATAAACAGTCACTAAGAGCCTTCCACTTTCAGTGACTTTCTCACAGTCATAAAGAAGGACACAGCTAATTAGCAGTTCACCCATCCTCAACCGATACCTGGGTATGACGTCTACATAACGGATAATGTAAGCTGGCAGATGCGTATGGAGATTTCGTCAGCATCTAATCCGTTATGTTTGATGAAACTTCTCAAATACGCAATCAATGTCTTCAACATGCCCAATCACTTCGTTTCTTATCCTGAGAGTAGGATTCGGTACAGACCAGTCCTGCAGAACCATTTTGCATTTGGCATGAGCGAATCCCAGACCAGTCACACGAAAATTTCCGTCTGAACAAGTGTGAGTAAAAGAACGACCTAATCACTGTTTATAAGATTATAAGCGACTGTCGTCATGCAGAGGGAATTGTCCGGTCATCAGTTCAAAACGAGTTTCTTCGAAGCAACCCATAAATAATTGCCCATCCAAAGACTACAAATCTTTTAGATTGTCTTCATTTCTTTCCTCTTTTTGTCTGAGACCCCTGAGATGCACTCCTGGTAGCCTTTGTTACTGAACCGCTAGCGAATGCTTTGAACGGTGCGAAGATAACAAAACACATTCTGTTTCCGACGGACTGTCAGCCTGACCACATCGATTTGTAACATCAACGTACTACATAGTAATATCAGTCTACAACTAAATGGAACCCAATTAGGTCTTCGTCTACCCCCAGTAGTTCTTTTTGTCCCCCTCTTATGTCTACTCATTTACATGTGTTTAGTGTATATTTCATTTATTTAACTGCTTTTACATTTTGAAAATTGTTTCTATCCCCAGTGATAATTTCATTACTGTTTCACTCTCTTCGATCACATATTTAAAAAGACCCATCTAAACCTCAGTAGCATTGTCTTGACGAAGGTTAAAGAGTACAGTACATATTATACCAACTTTTTACCCAAAATTAATTGCCAATTCGACACATCATATTAGAAGTTAAGTGGCAGTTTCCATGAGGTTACCAATATCCCTAATTGTGGTAGAAAAATATGAGTAGTGGGGAAGTTATGCAACTCATAGTTCCGTTCCGTTTGTAAAACATGTAAATTCAACCCAGCAGTGTCATAGAAACAAAAGGAATTATTTATCTTTTGGTTCTTGTTATACTACCCAGTACACTTCATTTGCATCATGCTCAACGAGTGACAAGATTTCAGATTTACCTAACTCCTACAACAAAAAATCGAACTGCATGTTATATACAACTTGCTTTTGACCGATAAAAAGTTACGTATTCTCATTAGTTCCTTTTCAACATCCATTCCTAACAGTAAAGTGTAAAGGGATTCATGACTGAATTTGTATAGAAATCAGAGTTGATCGCATTTTTTGAAGTAAACTGACCAAAGGACATTGAACTGAAGATGTAAAACAAACAGATAATCTGACCTCTTCATTTGGAATTTTATCCATTTTGGTATTGCACTTTTTAGTGTATATTTTACAACTAATCTGCTCCTCAACTAAGTAGGAATTTAATTTATAAATGTATTTCAGAAACCAAATAATCTTCATTTCACTTCCTTTAAAAGTTATACATAAAAGCATTCAGAATTATCAAGATTATGATAATAAAATGTATCACTTGAACAGAAAAGAGGAATAGAGGAAAGATTTATAATGAACAGTCTACCAAAGTTGGTAAAGTTCACAGGCCTAAAGTATCCTATTAAGTGAAATAAATCAGATAATAAACAGTACATATAAATAAACACAGTAATGCAATAATGGTTACCTTGTTCAAATAGTTTGTCCGGAAACTATTCCTGTTTGTAACTTAAGAGTAGAATGAAGCATAAGGTAATATGTAAAATATACAAATATCGCTATTTAGGAAACCATTGCACATCGACGCCATCAATATATATATATATATATATATATAATATCTAGCCTAAATCACTCCGGTATTCTTTTAGGTCCTGTTATTTGTTCACAAAATGTTATTTTAGATGCAGTAGAATCACTGTTGAAGTGCATCAGTTATCTTGCAGATAACAACTAAAGGTGAGTACTTTCAATTTATCAACCCTGAGAGCTACTATACTGATTCAACATTACTCAGTTCGTCGTCTGTTAGGCTATACTGTGTCCGAAGAGGCTGCTTACAGGCAATATTTTGTAGTGTCCAAAATAAGTGGCAGTGGCATGAAGAGTTTCAGCCATGAGGGTGAAAATGAAAATAAGTCTCTTTGTCCTACTGACTGAGGTGATGTGAATGTAAAATGGAAACTAATGACACTGAATATCCCAGGCAAGAACACGCATATATGATGCCTCAGTGACGATAGCAAGAATCTGATCCTAATTGCAGATAATATTTTTTGACAACAAAATAATATAAAACTGAAGGCTAAAAGTACGTTTGTTAATTCATAAACTGTATCAATTATTACGTGAAATACATGGAATCCATTTGGTATTTTATCAGTCTGTTGAGAGGTGTGTTTACCAGAGTAGGTATTTAATCAGTTATTGATTAAACAACTGACTGGTATCTTGCATAAGCTTTAATTATCTGGTGTACAGCACACAGGTCTTTCATACTCTTCATAATTTGTTTGGATTCATGTAGAAGTCACTTCTTCCTTCTACCTTCCTAACTACTGATATAAAGAAGTAG